TCAACATCATTTCACAGCTTTATGCTGACCTCCTGGTGCGAATCTGTTCAGTCACAAAGAAAGATAAGCCTAAATCTCTTCTATCCCTCACGGTAGAGCTAGATGAGTCTTGCCTTAAATACTTTCCTTGCATTTCTACAGAAGTGAATAAAGTCTGGCATGAGATGATCCATCAAGTTTACAGATCAATCAGTCAACACAATCTTCCTGTTATACCAACTGCACATGCTGTTTCTGTAGATTCAGCTCATCTTTCCCAACAAAAATACACAGTTAACTGGTACAGTCTATCTACACCACATTCAGAAAATTGTCCTTATTTTACAACCAGTGACCATGATGGGATTTTTGAAATTTTAGACGATACTGGGATGAAAGTAGTTCCAAACACTGTAAGAATACAAGAAATAAGAAAGCACTTCCAGTTGGCTGGTGTAAATGTGCAAGAAGTGAGTGCTTCAACAGTGATGAATTTCTTGAAACAAAGATCACTGAATGATCCTACCCAGACAACTAATGGCTTACCTTTGCCCATCAACCAGACATTGATCAAAGACAAAACAAGGTGTTCAAAACTTCTGAGATTCTGCTTGACAAAACCCTGTAAAGAAACAATTCATGCCCTCAGTGGGCTGCCTCTTCTCCTCACACAAGATCAGGTGTTAAGACTCTTTGATGCCGAGTCCCCAAAGCTAATATCAAAGTTCAGCAGTCTTTTCCCAGAGCGTCAGGAAATGTTTGCAGATATGGGTGTCAATGGAGAACATTCTCAAATTCTGTGTCAGGGAAATTTTATTAAGGGCTTAACCATTGACCTGGCAGCAACATACTTAAAACCAGAACTTGAAAAACTGCTCAGGGAGTCAGTACCTCATGAAAGTTGCCAGCTCTACAAAGCAGAGACAGAGATAATCAAATGGTTAAACATGTTATGGAGCTTCTTTGTTGATCAAGACATAAGTAACCAAAATGAACAGCTGAATGTTTTCAATGAGATTAAAAAACACTTTAATGACAGCCCCATCTTGCCAGTCATCTGCCCCAGACAAAATGACATGCATTTCTTGCAAACAGTGGGGAACATATCAAAAGTGATTAACAAGCCAGATGAAAAAAATGCCTCCATTCTCATAAAACTGGGATTCATGAAAATAGACATCAGCTTTTTCTTTAATGTGCTTCTTGAGTTCCGTCTCAAGTATGTGTATCCAGAACTCTTGCAAACAGGAGACAGCAGTGCTGTATTGAGAGAGGTTTATCATGTACCTCATTCACAATTTGAAGAACTGTCTGAGGTGGAATGTGTAGATCTTCAAAAGTTCTTGCAGAGTGGCATCAGAGATTCCAGTAACAAAAGTGAACACATGCAGATGTTGAAGTCTCTGCCCCTGTTTGAGTCAATAACTGGAAAACGTAAAAGGATTGATTTACACAGAAAGGTATTCATTCTGAAGTCGCAGCATCACACTGACTTCCCGAAACTGTACCAGATTGAAGGATGTGACAGTCTATTCCTCAAGCCCACCTTGGTAAACTTAGAATTGGCTGAACTTCTAAACATTCATAGTCTAAATGATTTGGAGTTCTGTGTAGAGTTTATTCTTCCTTCTGTGCATATGATGGAAGAGGCCAAGCTTCTTGATTTAATGCGGTTGTTGCTAAAACTTGGGCCAGTGGACCAAAGGATTGTCTCTGCTTTGAAAGATGTCAGATTAATTCGTGACATCCACGGCTCTCTACAGGTGGCTTCATACTTCTATGATGACAATGAACCACTCTACAAGATAATGCTTCCAAAGGACAGATTTGTGCCAAACACCTTCTGGTACAATTTTCAAGGTAAACAAACTGAGGCTCGTTTCCTCTTAAAGGCACTTGGATTGAAACACGAGGTGTCAGATGATGAAATCATTCAGTTTGCAAAACAAGTTGAATGTGAAGCTAGAGGCAACACTCCTCAAGATGTTCTCAGGGAAAGATCAAAACTCCTGTTTAGTACTGTTTTGTCAAAGAGTTCTGACAAAAACTCTACATTGCTGAATAGAGTTGCTAACATTAAATTCATTTTGCCAGGGAAAATTCAGCCGCCAACATTATGCGATTATCATAAGGCCTTTACACAAGAGAGGGAGCTTGTTTCAATCAGCGGATCATTGATTGACAAAGACAGTAGTCACCATTATCTCATATGGACATCTATGCCAATCCTGCCTCCAAAGTATTACTCTCACAATCTCATTAATAAAATGAAGGATGCTGGAGCTGTGGATACTCCACCCCCTGAAAAAATTGCTGCTAATCTGAAAAACATCTGGAGATCTCTGTGCAATACAGAGATATTGCTGGAAACAAGAAAGACGGTATTTACCAAGTCATATGCATACCTACAGTCAATAAATTTTAATGCCACCATGTTCTCAGACCTCCCCATTATCTTGGTGGAAAATGGAACAATAGTAGTAAAGGCCAAACAGACGGTCCTTCAGCTACATGATGCTTCTGAGTTCAGGCCTTATTTGTACAACATTCCTCCAGAGTATATGATATATGTAGAATTCTTTAAGAAGATTGGTGTACAGGAGAGGCCTACCATTAATCAATACAGCACTGTTCTTCAAGAAATCTATTCTGAAAGTTCTGGTAAAGACACACTTCAGGCAAACCAGCAGATAACTGTCAGACGTGTTGTACAACAACTGTTTTACCTTCTGAAAGAGCAACAAAACAAAACCCCTTTCCAAAATGACCCACTTTACCTGCCATCAACTGATGGAAGACTCTATGAATCCAAGACGTTGTTCTTCAATGACACAGCCTTCCAGACCACAAGAGTTGAAGATCCTTTGGAAACCAAGCTGAAATTGCTGGAAAAACTGAACTGCTGTCATCTTGGAAATGATCCCTATGAACACCAAACACTCCTGCAGCTCCTTCCTCAACAAGTCCGCCCTAGATTCCTCTCCGAAGTAATCTCTGAAAACCTGGAACAAGCAAGTGTCCAATATTGTGATGAAGTTGAATGTGAATTTAGTGGCTGGTTTGACAGACACTTGTCTTCTGCTGCATTTCTTCATGGACTGGTCTGTCTCATCAGAGAAGACAGCGAAGGGGGAGTTTCAGAGTCTGAAGCTGCAGGAAAATGTGAAGACATCTTTTCCAAGATTCAGATTATCTGTTGCAAAACTCTTCAAACTGAGCTTCTGTTAAATCATCAGCCACTTGAGGGCAGTAAGGCAGAAACAGATGTTTATTTGAAAAAAAGACTAGATGAATGCCTTTTCTACTTGAAGCACAGTGATGACATGGCCCACAAAGTAGTAAATGAAGTTAATATGTGTCTCACAAAGGAAATCAACACTCTTCTAAAAAACTGTCTGACCACTTCAAGCCTTCTGGTCCTCGGGCAACTTCTGCTTTCTGATAACATGGAGGATGTTGAGAAAACATTGGCAAAGCATGGCATTCGTAACAGTGGCACCAACAAGGAAGAACACGGTACCTTGCCAATACCTGGATGTCGCATACCTGAAGAATGGCATGACTGCCTTGATATGAACTTCCTCAACAACTTCGAAAGTGGAGAGTATGTTGGCTTCAGCAAGGATGAATCTGGTGAATATTTCTATGCCATTATTGTGGATCGAGTGGATGATTCAGTGGGACAAACTAGACAGTTTCCTGCCAGATATAAAATTCAAGTTGGCATTGATGAGTTTCTTGAAGTAAGTTCTCTTGACCTTTACCAATTTAAAAGGGAAAAGAAGGCAACTGTGTCTGCAGGGACCACATGCACAGACATGGTACATCTTCCGACATCTAGACCTTCACCAGAAGCATCCAGGCCTCCACCAAAAGCCGTCTTTCCTGAGACACTAGAAGAGATCAAAAGAGAAATTGACAAAAGCTTAAACGAAATCTGGAAAATGTCAAATGAGGACAAACAAAAAGCTCTTAAACGTCTCTTCCTCCAGTGGCATCCAGACAAGAACCCAGGCAATGAAGAACTCGCAAATGAGGCTTTCAAATACCTTCAGAACAGAATTCAGGACCCACAACAAGGGAAAACTGCACGGAACTCTTCGTCAAACTGGGGAGACTTTAGAAACTTCTATGATACGTGGAACAGAGAGGCACGAAACCACAGGAGGGGACGAGAGAGGTTCTATCAGCGGTACTCCAGAAGACACTATAACTTCTGGTCGTACCACAGCGAGACTCCACGACCAGACAAAGCAGAAGCAAAGCGCTGGTATGACCAGGCTCGGTGTGACCTCAGAGCAGCTCACACTGACACTGGAGGCGAGAGCTCAGAGTGGTGTCTGTTTAAGGTGCATCAGGCTGTGGAGAAAGCCCTGATAGCAGCGAAGTACAGGAGGAACGGACAGCATCCCCAAAACTGCTCAATCACAAGTCTTGCTCTGCAGGTGTCCATGTACAGCTCGCAGTTGACTTCTTTACCTAGCATTGTGAAGCAACTGACTGACCTTGGTGTTGATGGCAAAAAGACTCAATATCCGAACCATCACCAGTTTCCTCACATTCCAAACAAGCAGTTCAGCCTTACTAATGCCAAAAGGGCTCTGGAAATTGCAACTCAGCTTTTGGAAACAATTGAACATTACATTTCTTGAAATGTCTGACCATGTACCATTCCACAATCTTTACGATCTTTTCCAGTAACAATGCTGCTGTTGTTTCTTAAACTGTTTAGTAGTTCAACCAAGTAGGACCTATTTGCGTGTTTTGAAAATGAGAAGTTTTGTTGTTCTATTGCTTACTGTGTTACTTTTTACTACTGTATAATGAGCGTTCACTGTATTGCTAATGCTGTTTGCTCTACTAGGGTTTGATTCCCAAAAAATGCAGAGAACAATGTTTATACCTTGAATACAATGCAAGAAAGTTTGAATATTACAAGCTGTTTTAATCCACCTGGAAACAGCTATTGTCAGCAACATGTTAATTAAACATGACATTAAAATAAAATCACAGTTAATCCATTAAAAGCATGGTGTTTTTATTAAGAAATATTAACAGAAGTCCAAAGCTGTTTCAACCAAATGTTCACTAAATGACAGAACAGTCACACAATCATCCTGCGATACAGATGCTGTATGTGCTTTACAATCCTTGCAGCAAAACCACTTCTGGAGTCTGTCGGCTTATAAAACATGACATGAAGAGTTACTCATCTTACTGCTTGATCAAGAAATGAAACTTTGATTTGAGCAGCTTCTGCTTTCCTCAATAGCGCTGCAAAAACCACGACAAAAGCATCAGTGGTTTTCTGGTGTCCCAGTAATAACTTATTACACAAATTCTGTACATAATTACAGCATGTCATATATACGCAATGAACACAACAGAAGAAAGCAAGCCGTGTTAGAAATGCTCTATACAGTGCTGGCCGACGCTAGGAAAATGAAAAGCCCTAACCTGCAGTGGTCATTGTTTATTTCCTGAAGTAACGGTCACACCTGTTTGCTTTTGATGGACTCATGGAAAATGCTACTTTCTTTTCAAACAGTATTATGTAGGAGACTGAAAACGTCACCTTCATACATTCATCTGCAGGAGTAGAAGATGATCTAGTCATGAACATTAATATCAGTACGTAAACAAAAGCTGAGAGGACGATGCAGAAATGCTTTTTCACACTGGGACTCGGTTACCTGAATAAGACACTTCATCTATTGACTGTTTTTACCCTGATTCCTGTCCTGCTCAGTCTTGAAGCTCACACAATGAATGAATCAGGTGTATGAACATGTTTCAGGTCCATGTTGAGAATGGATGAACACACACACACACCTTCAGCACTGCTCTCCTGCAAGCAGACACTCACTTCATTATTGCCGTCTGGTCTCCGGATAAAATATTTATCATAGATGTGTGTGATGATGTTAAAACCAATTAGTTTGTGCATATTTTACAGCTACATCATTGGCGACAGTGATGGCAAGACTTTAAATGCATTTACATGTGTTCTTGAATTGACTGTACAGTGGTACAACTCTGGTCTTCCTCACACACAGAGAACATTCAACACATGTGTCTTACAGTACGGTATGTTCTTGATCAGAACTCATAGTTATGTCACATGAGAAAACGGTAGGCCTGAGCAATCAATCAATGCATTGTGATTCATGGTTAATTTCTTTGATTTTCGTAATGCATCAGGATTCAGTTCTAGAATCGATTCTGAGCTTAGTTTCTAACTGCAGATGACGCTCTAGGCCTAAAATATCCAGGGGCAGACCCTCACATGTATCAGACCACTAGGGCTGCCTTCCAGTGCACTTTTAGAGTGTACTCACACTAGGTTATCCAAACCATGCCTTGGCGTGTTTTTTGAAGTGTGCCAGAGCGCGGTTCCGTTGCGCTTTGGCATAGTACGCTTGTACTCTGAGTGCAAACCGCACCTGAGTGTGAAACTGAAGACGTGACGTCACTTTTAAGGGACTGTTTTATATGGATTTATTAATAATTTTTATGCTGTGTTCACACCAATCGCGCTATTCGTAAGTAAATAGATGCATGGACATTTTGAGTTTCTCACTTCATTCGTTCGTCAAATCTGCTTTATTCGTGCGTTAAATTCACTGAGCAATAGACGCGGATTCAATAGGCGATGCTTTTGTCTGCCCGGTGACTGTCGCTTCGTTTCTAAATGGCTAACGTGGATTTTATTGAGACAGTAGCTGTGTTTATGTGCTTTAGGAAGGCTGAAAAACAGCGTCGATTCATTTGGAGCCGTGTCTGAGTCCACTAGATTCATTCAGAGGTGCAGCCAGCGCTGTGAGTTCATAAACTGCAACAGCAACAGATGGCGCTCTAGGCTAGTTTTTCACAACAGATGGTGCTCTAGGCTAGTTTTTAACAACAGATGGTGCTCTAGGCTAGTTTTTAACAACAGATGGCGTTTTAGGCTACTGTTTAATGGCAGACGGCGCTCTAGGCTAGTGTTTAAGGGGAGACAGCGCTCTAGGTTTAATTTTAACTACACTCAAATGCTTAAAAATAGCAGGTCAAATGTACTTACACCTCAACTTTTGTCATACGATTAATGTAAACAACTCACGATGAACTCGATTGTTAATGGAACCCTTAATATTGATCATTTTAGGTTTGCGTGGTATGTGTACGCAATTAGAAGCAAGCAGATATAGGCTGTTTGTAAAGCATACAGCGCCATCTGCTGGTGAAAACGAAGCTTAAAATTGATTTAACAGAATCTCCATGCATTCATAAAATCTCATAATCAATGCAGAATGATTTCCTGATTCACAATGCATTGATTCAGTGTCCCAGCCTCAGATAAACAGGAGATGTAATTGAGTCGTTTGGCCTGACCACTGAATCAGAGTTTTATTTCCAAGGCATTCTGTCAGTCTGATATAAAAAATAAACTGCATAGCTCCATCAAGGACTCTTCGTGTTTCTGGAGGAAGAAAAGCGACCGTCCACACTCTCCCCCACCCCGAACGCTTCCTCTGTAAATGTGCATCTGCAGATTCCTCAGGTTCCGCAGTCTCACATGTTGTAGGCCACATATATGGGGTCGAGCTGGTCCGCGAGGAAGCCGTCCCGCAGGTGCATGCGCTGTTTCTCCCCTCTGGAGTTGATGGGAATGACCCCGGGGTCCACCACCACCACCACCCCCACGATCAGGTAGTGCTCCTCCAGAACCACATTGGTCACCAGTGCTACGAGATCCAGAGCCTCCTGCTCCGAGCCCTCCAGCTCCACCACCACCACCAGCAGATTCGTCCAGGTGAACACGGCACTGCGGAGACCACACAACACGACGGACATCAGGGGAAACGCTATAAGTATTTATATATACAGATGAAGTCAAAATGATTCTGCCCCTTCAGTGAAAGTTTAACTCAGTTTAATAACGGATTTATTTTCTCTTTGTCATGATGACAGTAAATAATATTAGACTAGATATTCTTCAAGACACTAGTATTCGGCTTAAAGTGACATGTAAAGACTTCACTAGGTTTATTAGAGTAAAGTTAGGGTAATTAGGCAAGTCATTGTATAACTTGTTTAATTTTAACAACATTGTATAGTTATTGGTCTTACGCAATTACGGGTGTGATTTCACGGGACAGAGTTCACTCTTTCACGGGACATGTAACTGTTATTCATTCATTCATTTATAATTATATTTAATAAATAATTAAATTAGATTTGACTCATTATTGCTGAAAACAAGACTGTATTTTCCACGTGTCTAAAAAATGCTTCTTGAATAAAGAATTGTTTAGATATTTGGCCTAGAAAGGAGACAGTAAGTGAAGCATTGTTTGTGCAGTCGACAGAGATGATCAGAAAGCGCAGGAGAGCGTGTCTCACCACTCGGCGATGCTCTTGTGTGAGCGGATCACAGACGTCTCGATGTCTATGGGATGGTAGCGCATTCCCCGCAGCTCCAGAGTCTCGTCCAGAGCTCCAACCACATACAGCGCATCATGACGCTCTACAACAACACAAACAGCACTGAGTGAATACACACAGCATGATGTACATCTGACATGAGCACACAGTTAACTCATTTCCTGCCAGTCTGTATTGAAGAAGTTGCCAGCCATTATTGGCATTTTTGAGGATTTTCACCTTTTATAGAACATTTTCTGCTAGGACTATATGAGTATATTATACATCAGGAGTGTCTAAACTCGGTGCTGGAGGGCCGGTGTCCTGCAGATTTTAGCTCCAATCCCAATCAGACACACCTGGGCTGGCTAATCAAGCTCTTACTAGGCTTTCTAGAAACCTCCGTGCAGGTGTGCTGAGGCAAGTTGGAGCTAAAATCTGCAGGACACCGGCCCTCCAGTACCGAGTATGGACACCCCTGTTATATATCCAATTAAAGAACCAAACCACTGTTTTTAACTATATATATATATATATATATATATATATATATATATATATATATATATATATATATATATATATATATATATTTTTTTTTTTTTTTTTTTACTCATGTTTTTATCTTAACTTGAATGCACTGAAAAATTGCTTTACTTAAAGAGTTTTTGTCTTGTTTCTAGTCTAAATATAAAAAAAATCTTAAAACAAAAAGCATTTTAAACACAGATTTACAGTCTTGTTTTAAGAAAAAAAAAAGTCAAATTAAATGAGTTTTTCTTTAAAATAATCTGCCAGTGGGGGAAGAAAAAAAATCTTATGTCAAAATGAAAAACTAAATGATTTCTCTTCCGCTACTGGCAGAATATTCTGCTTATTTTAAGGAGAAACATTTCATTTTGACTCATTATTTCTGAAAACAAGACAATATGTTCTGCATGTCTATGAAATGTTTCTTGATTTCAGAATGTTTAGACATTTGGACTAGAAACAAGACACAAAGAATTTAATTAAGAAAAGTATTTTTTTGTCAGCTTAGAAACATACACATATATTACATACAAAAAAAGAATCAAGCCTCTGATTTTAAACAACAAAGCATTTCATTTGATCATGTTTTATCTCCCCTTGAATGCAGATAAGTTTAATAAACATACATCTACAAAACAAAAGCAGACTAACTACTGCATTTTTAAGATTATATACAGTAATGTGATGCAAATGTTTTCCCCTTAATGATTTCTTATTTGTAGTCAAAGACAACACAAGTAAACATCAACATGATGCAGTTTTGAAATAAAGGTATTATTATTACATTTACTCTTATCTTGTGGATATTCTCTAGAGATTCAGCTATTAGTGATGCCATCATAGCTTATAAGTGTGCTTTTATATTTTGGTTTCTTGTTCTTTATTTATTATTTATTACATATTTATTGCCACATCAGCAACTTATGGCTATTTCGTGGCCAAATGGATATACATTAAAATATTACATGATAAAAAACAAATTCGTATTACACTAAAAACGTTACTTAGAAAAATGTATAAAATAGAAATAGATAGAATTCACACAAAAAATTATTTAAAGATATATATATATGATTTTTCAGCTCTATTTTTGATAAAAAAAAAAGTAAAACTCTTCCAGGTGGCACATTTTTAAAAATGTCCATCAATGTACTCTCCTTATAAAAATGTTGTCTAATGGAATTTAAACTTCTGCATTCCAACAAAATATGTTTGATGGTAAGAGCAGGTTTCTCGTTCTTATATTAATATTTAATATTGGTAGGGAATAGCTATTCCTTCACTTTTGCTATTTACAGTACACTTTGACTTTGCTTTTCTGTTCATGACGAGTACAAATATTGGTAGCTTAAAACAGATGGAAAAGGAGTGAACTGTGCTGCGCTTCTATGGAGATCTCAGTGTCTCTGTGTCAGAATTATTGTTTGCGTTGTGCGAATTTTGCAACACATATGCTGTCACACCAATGAGGATCTATTCTTCATTTGCTGGTGTTTTTGTAATTGCGTATGTGTTCTTAAATTGCAGCCTCTCGGCTACCACAGCAGCCAGTGGCGCAACAAGGGGGTATGCAGTATATGCGGCGCATAGGGGCGCCACACATGGGGGGGCGCCGTTGTGCCAAAACTATTTTTAAAATTATCCTTATTAAAAGTTTCAAATAATAAAAATAAATAAATATGTTTTGTTAAAAAACCTTATTTTGCATTTTAAACGAATATAATATTGTTATTGTTTAATTCAAAATCATTTAACACAATAACATGCAGTCCCACAGCCTAAAGTGTTCATGTAGATGTAACTGTTTAGATTTGTTTTTGTTTTTATCAAAATAAACTGTCAAATCATACATAATGTCAAAAGTTATAAGATTAATCTGAAAATTTGTCTTCATTTATTATTAATTAATTAATATAAAATAAGAGGGATCACACAAAATATGAACCCGCATACCCCTCAGTAAATGTGTAGTTGCGCCCCTGACAGCAGCCTAGTATGTGTTCTTCATCTGATGTGTATAGTTCAGTACAGTTCATTACTGTACCTCCGCTGGCATCTGTGAGTTCAGTGCGCCGTAAGAAGCCCAGATATCCCGTGCGAGCCCAGACCGTCTGCGTGTCCCCGAAACTCAATCTGGTGTTGAAATGATCTGCGTGCAGCGCCTCCTCGCCGTACACCGTATAATACCCAGTGGCATTATGGGGGCTGCTCACCCAGACCTGTGTTACAATAAACACATGAACTCAATAACACTGATAATACACTGCAACATAAGCATTACTTCACTCATGTACACTGTAGAACACATCTGATAATGAACAGTTGCTGTGTTTAGAGTTTATCAGCAGTGGTGAATTGCATTATGGGATGTTGATCTCTGCTCTGTCCACTTCTGATGGTGAAAATTCAACTCTACAGTTTAACAAAGTGACTTTAATGGGCATTTTAGTAATAATATCATGTATAAGAGATAAGAGTAAGAGTGTAAAATAACACAGTATGTGCTGCAGTTTACTACAAGGCTTCTGTAGTGTAATATACAACACCAACACAAACAATACAGCACCGCACATGTTCAGGAAAGTCTCTTTTTTAAAATGTAGAGTGAAAGTATGTCTGTACATCTCTGCACACATGCTACTGTAATGACTCTACAGAACTGATAGACTGCGGCATAATAAAAGCTCTGCTGCTTGAGTCGTTTCTCTTCTTTCAGTATTACTCTGCTTCATGCCACCATGCTAATAAGTGTTGAAGACTTACTTCACTCATCATCAACACCGTTTCTGCAGGAGGAGGAGGAGGATGAAAACTACAACTCCCATCATTCCACACTCAGAGTCATCATATGGCTGTGTTTGTTGTGAATGCTCGCCCTCTAGTGGAGAAAATGACACACTGTGTCTTTAAGACTGGCTGCAGTGTCTGAAACTCACCTCTCCCAGATGAGAATCTCCCAGAGGTCCTTTCGTCTCTGTGTTGGCGATGATAACCTTCACCCCCGGCAGAATCTGTGTGTTGAAAACATAACACATTAAATGTAAATGCAATACTAAATATACAATATTTTCTCATATTTATACTGTACTGACAATGCAAAGTTTATACAATGCTTTTAGAGGTTTCTCATGCTTAAAAAGTAACTTGATAATACAAACAGTAACCTGTAAGACTCTAATATACCACTGCTTTTACTTTAAAACTTGATTTTCAGCTCAGTTCATGTTTGTTTATACAGCGCTTTTACAATGTAAATTGTGTCAAAACAGCTTAACATAATGCTAGTGAAGTCCAGACTTTATTAAAATGCAAAGTTGTCTAGGTGAAAGTATATTTTCTAATTCTTTTATTTCCTGTGATGTAAAGCCGTATTTTTATTAGTTAACTGAGGCAAAAAAAAAATTATGTCAAAAATACAGTTAATGGTTCATTAATAGTGAGAATTGTATCTTAAAACAAAGTGTGACCTATATGTTTACATACATATACAGTTGAAGTCAAAATTTTTCGCCCCTCTTTTAATTTATTTTTCTTTTTTAAATATTTGCCAAATAATGTTGAACAGATTCAGGAAATGTTCACAGTATGTCTGATAATATTTGCTCTTCTGGAGAAAGTCTTATTTGTTTTATTTCAGCTACAATAAAAGCAGTTTTTAATATTTTAAACACCATTTTAAGGTCAATATTATTAGCCCCTTTAAGCTATATCTTTTTCCGATAGTCTCCAGAACAAACCATCATTATACAATAACTTGCCTAATTACCCTAATTAAACTAGTTAAGCCTTTAAATGTCACTTTAAGCTGTATAGAATATATTGTGTGCTGTCATCATGACAAAGATAAAATAAATCAGTTATTAGAGATGAGTTATTAAACTATTATGATTAGAAATGTGTTGAAGAAATCTCTCCGCTAAACAGGAATTGGGGAAAAAAAATAAACAGATGGGCTAATTATTCTGACTTCAACTATATATATATACAACTATATATATATATATATATATATATATATATATATATATATATATATATATATATATATATATATATATATATATATCTATACATACACACAGTATATTTCTCACCTTCCCAGACTCCATCAGCGGCAGACTGTGCGGTGATCCTCTCTCCACTAATCGAACCCTAAACAATATGAAGATTAAGACATGCAGAGTTACATTTTCCTAATCAAAAGACTGAAATTGATCAAACTTATTAAGATGAGATCATAAATGGACTGATATACAGTCTACATCTGGGCCGCGTTTCACAATAATTCAATAAACTCTGACTTTAACCCTAAACCCTGAGCTTCCCTCATTTCAGAGTCAACACACTCAAAAAGGAAGATTTCACCCAAAAACAAGAATTCACTCACTATTTACTCACTCTGAGTTGATTTGAAACCTTTATCAGATTCTTTTGTCTGTTAAACACAAAAGAAGATACTGTGAAGTATGCTGGAAACCGATAACCATTGACTTCCATAGAGTTAAACACAAACACTGTTGAACTCAATGCAGGTTTCAGCATTCTTCAAAACATCTTTTTAACTGCTCAACAAGGTTTGAAACAAGTGAAGGGTGAGTGAATGATGACAATGTGTTTGTGTGAACTGTCCCTTTAATCTGCTTTCTGAAGTGTGTATGAGGAGTGTGTGTATGTGTGTGTGTTACAGCACCTGTCGTGCCGCAGCGCCCGCATGTCCAGATATACAGTGGTGGGATCCGGACCCGCCGTGCCCTGAAACACACAACAGCAGCAGATGCATCACACATGTGCAGGAGAATGGGGAGATCCATGGAAAAAGATGCTTCAGAAATTAAATGCAAAAATAAAAGCCTTTATTTTTATGGACATCGCATTAGTAAATGAGTGTGTTTACACCTGTGGTGGGATCCCTTTAGTTAAATATGATCCAGAATTAACGCTCGGGGAACCAAAGCGCAGAGGAAAACTCTAAAGCTGGACAGAGCTGAAACATGAGGATATTGTAGTGTTTATGAGGATTCTAATGCTTTGAATATTCAGTATATTGTCAATTGACTTATTATCTATGAAATATTTTTCATTTATATGTGTCGAACAGTAAAAAAATATTAGAAATTATTAATTTTAAAGCAGAAATAGCTCACTACCTTCCCACTTTGAAAGAGACAAGAAATATTAAAGTGAAAAGTCAGTTTATTAAAGCCATAAACCTGTTTTTATTTTATCATTTGTTATTATTTACAACTAATTTTGAAGATAGACTCATCATTATTACTATAGTTTTCTCTTTCATTTAATTATTGTACTCATTTTCTTTAATTGCTCTTGTACAAATTACAAAAAAAGACAATAAAGTATGGACGTCCTCAACACCACGCTTGTGCCATAATTGCCTTTCTCTCATCCCAGAAGGCACATCCCGCTGCAAAAAGCAAAATAATCAGCCAATGGGCTAAATAATCATGTTTTTCCTTCTGACATTAGATTATTTTGGCCTGCCCAATTGGCAATTTAACTTTATTCTTCATTTTGACTCATTATTTCTGAAAACAACACAATAATGTGCTTGTCTAAAAAACTGATTAAAGAATCTTCAGATATTTGGACCAGAAACAAGACACAAACTCTAAGTAAGAGCAGCTTTTTTCTTTGCAGTGTGTGTGCGAGATGTTACTGGGTGAAATGAAAAGCAGCAATAGCCTGAATCCTGAAGGTGAGTCCTGCAAACACATCAGCAGATCTCCCCATATGCACACACAGAAGCAGCAGATGTGCAGTAAGAGCAGAGCCAAGACACATGTGAATCAGCCACTGCCATCGCCAACAACAAAGAGCAAACGCTGATTTCAAAGCAAACAAACATTGTGCCAAATTAAAAGTCACATTCTCAGTGCATCAGTCTCACCTAGCAAATACTACTGATGTAAAGAGCACCTATTATGCAATAAACACATCTATAAGAGGTTTAAACCCGGACTGTAGTGTATGTGTGTGAATGAGTGTGTATTGATGTTTCCCACAGATGGTTAGATGCTGTGTAAAACATGTGCTAGATAAGTTGGCGGTTCATTCCGCTGTGGTGACCCCAGATTAATAAAGGAACTAAGCTGAAAAGAAAATGAATATTTACTAAATATAAACTACTCCAAAACTAAAATATAATTCATATACTGAAAACAAATGTATTAAATCTGGCTGATTCAGCAGGTTGGTGCCTTTAGAACTACAGAAATAATGATGCTGAGATTACTGCAGTAAACAAAGCAGCATGATGTCAAATCTAGTAATATTAACTACACAGCATCCTGATATTCACAGATGTAATTCAGGCAAACTTTAGCAAACAACCATATATTGCAGAATCAAAAATGACATCACATTTAATACCTGCAAAATAGCATGTAAGACTTTTTAATATTTTTTTTCTCTACATTGATTGATCAACTTTTAATGCTTATTAAGAGCCCACGGACACCCTGAAGAACGCTGTCCAATCAGAAAAAAAAACGCATGAAGTCAGCAGGAGTAAACAACCCCTTTATATCACACGCACACGCACACACACACACACACGCACGCACGCACGCACACACACACACACACACACACGCACACACACACACACAGTACCTGCTCCGCCAGCTTGCCCAGCCGGTTGGGCTGACGAGAGGGATAGACAAGCAGACAAACACAGCCAACATTTAATACACAACACAGTTACAGACAGGCATTCAGGACAGTCGAACACATAACATTTCACAACTGTACAACACAGATGAAGACCCGTTCACAACAACGGCGGTACTACAAATCATTTCCACACCTATTATATTGTGACAATCCACTGTAGAGAGTCGCAGGAAATCAGCAGCTCTGAGTATTTTAGGATTTAACAACTTGAAAAGCTTAAAAAAGTGGCTTTTATAAAAAAGTTTAATAGTATAAGTGCTACAGTTGAAGTCAGAAATATTCACCCCCCTTTGATTTTATTTATTTTTATATATCCCAGATGATGTTGAACAGATTGAGGAAATGTTCACTGTATGTCTGATAATATTTGTTCTTCTGGAGAAAGTCTTATTGGTTTTATTTCAGCTAGAATAAAAGCAGTTTTAATTATTTTAATGCCATTTTAAGGTCAATATTATTAGCCCCTTTAAGCTATATTTATTTGTGATAGTCTACAGAACAAACCAACCCGGGCTCATTGTGGAAACGTAGCCCCGCGGACGTTTCTGCGGACCGCGAAATAAATCCCGGGAGGTACGTATTCGAGCAGTTTTTGTTTTCGCGGATCCGCGAGAGGCCGCTGTGCGAGAACCCTCTCGGGAGCGCGCGCCGTTTGCGCCTGCCCTGTTCTCGCGCGAAAAGCCGCCGGAGGCCGCTGTGGAGCGACCGTCCGACCGGCTAGCTAAACGACCGAACGATCGACCGGGCAGCCGGCCAATCGGCCGACCCAGCCACCCTCCCCTTCCTCCTCCTCCTCCTTCCCTAAACCCAAGCGACGGTTTGCAAAACCCGTCCAGAAAAAAAAGCAAAAGCCCTCGTCTTCGATTGCGACCGCGTTTTCGGATCCCACCGCGTTCTTACCCTTATTTTTTTGGATTCAGTTTTTCATCTTACCTGATTTCCGGACTCGATACCGGTTGTCCCCGCGGCCGCCTCCTCCTCCTCCGGGCCTCCGCTCCGCCAACGTAACGCTGCGAGCTAAGCGGACAAACTGGTTGCATCAAGAAAGCCCTCCACTCAGAAGAGAGCCGTCGGCCGGCGAGTGCGAAGAGGAGGAGCAGAGCGGCGCCACACCGCCCCGCAGCGTTTGCTCGAGAAAAACTAAATGCGGCCGTACAAACCTTCGGGCACGTAAATCGCCGCCTCCAGAAACGTCCGCGGGGCTACGTTTCTAGAATGAGCTTGGGTTGCAACAAACTATCGTTATGCAATAAATTGCCTAATTACCCTAACCTGCCTTGTTACCCTAATTACCCTAGTGAAGCCTTTACATGTCACTTTTAACTGTACAGAAGTGTCTTGAAGAATATCTAGCCCATGGGTGGGGAACGTCCGGCCTCCAGGCTGTATGCAGCCAGCAAGATCATTTGATCCGGCCCCATTCGTCAATTCAAAATCACCCCTCAGGGAAAAAATAAAATAAAATTCTGTTATAAAAGTGACAGGTGTAGACATTTGTTGCTCTACAAAGCTCAGTCTCACATGAAAATGACTGAAAGCATGTGCTGTAATGTAACGTCTGCAGCACGGGATGTGCTTCATTCATCAATGTACGTTCCAATCATTCATATTTTTAATAGTGCGACCGAGACCGCATGGCATGCATCTGTGTGTGCGCGCACTTGGCCTCGGAGACGAGCAGAGCACACACACATCTAACGGCATCTTAATGTGAGCGCTTTAATGCTCAAACACATGCAGATTTGTGTCAGAGCGCTGTGTTCAGAGATTATTCATATCAACCCTCATTTGTGTATTTAACAAGTAATTAACAAGTTGAGAATTAAAAGACATGTGAAAGAGAAACCATATCAGAGCGGCACTATTCTTAAAGACACAGTGCGCAATATTTCTGCTGCTTTTTATTATTAATCAAACAACAAAAGGAGAAAATCCCTCACTGTTCTCGACTGGAGGACTTTTGTAGCTGAAGTTTATTTCTGACAGTAAAGATGCTTAAAGCACAGTTTGTTTCATATTTTTATTCTATTGTATTTATTTCCCTTTCTTTATTTACAGGGAGGAAAATAAAGTCTAATATTATCTATGTCTGATGTTATTTACTGTCATCATGGAGAAGAGGAAACAAATCAGTTATTAGAGATGAGTTATTAACACTGTTATGATTATAAATGTGTTGAAGAAATCTGCTCTCCGTTAAACAGAAATTGGGGGAAAAAATAAATTGGCTGATAATTCTGACTACACCTGTCTGGGTTGGCCTCACCTGTAGACAGACGGCCACGTTGACCCTGCAGCCGAAGGTGGTGCTGACGGCGCGAGTGGACAAACCCAGATCCTTGAAGATCTTGGAGAAACTCTGAGTGAGTGTGATACGAGGACGCTCCTCCGCCACCACCATACAGGTCCTCACACACGACAGGTTCACGTTACGTAGCTGCACACACACACACACACACACACATTTGCATAAACATATACAGTGAAAAGGCAGAGTGAGATTAGAGTACGTGTGTGTGAGTGTTGCACTGACCCGCAGAGCTTCCGTCTGAGAGCCCAGGCCTTTAGTGCACATCTCCATCACTGAGTATGAGCAGAAGGTCACGCGCACTTTATACTGGCTGACGGCCGACAACCACAGAGACGCATTCGTCTCCAGCTCCAGCGGAGGAACCAGGATAGACTGATGACCTGAGTACACACTGCATGCGTGCGCACACACACACACACACACACACACACACACACACACACACACACACACACACACACACACACACACACACACACACACACACACACACACACATACACACTTATTTCATTTAATCACACTCAAGTGGTTGTAAACTTTTTTCCTCAACAGTTTGTTCTTAACAAGTAAATGTTATACAGCCCAAAGCCTAAGTGACACCTATCCTGCACTTGTTGTGGTACATGATATTTAGTTTACAACTGATAAAACTAACTCCAATTTTATATCAGGTTAATAATGTCAAATCCCACATTAATGTATAGAGAATACTGTAGTGTTTCTGAATCACACTACAGTAAAGCTCTTGAGTTAATCTGCTGTGGTGATTTTACAGTTGCCGTGGCAACACAACAACTGCAGTAATTAATCTGTTGTGGTGATTCTACAGTTGCTATGGTAACAACAACTATAGTAATTAATTACGTGTGGTGATTCTACAGTTGCTATGGTAACACAACAACTACAGTAATTAATCTGTTGTAGTGATTCTACAGTTGCTATGGTTACAAATTACCACAGCTATAGTTTTAGACAACTATAAGTTGTATTATACTACAATGCACCACAGTTTACTGTAATAAAAACTAAAGTACACTACAATATTATTACACTGTTCTCTACAGTTAACACTACAGTATGCTGCAGCATTCATTAACAGAGTGGTGTAAACACTTTAATATATATACAGTTGAATATGCTTTACTATACATGACTCAAGTATTCATTCATTTTAAATTTGGGATGTTTCCACAGTTGTACTGTTTTCTCTCACCTGCAGAGACACCAGAGAGCGAAGCCCAGGCCGCAGTACGGGTCGAGGCAGATGGCGATCTGTCGGGACGGGTACAGCTCACACTGCAGTTTAATGGAGCGACACAAGGCACTGGTGGCAGCGTGGGACATCTGTGATACACAGAGTGCTTTAATAACACACACAGACACTAACACACCTTAAAGCAGTCTGTATTGGTCAACAGACTCTAGACGCACCTTCACCCCGGCGAGGATCCCTGTGGTGGACACACTGAAGTCCAGGTAGGCCAGCATCTCTGGGGACGGAGGCTTGTAGATCTGAGGAAGCCTCTTCCTGGGCAGATCATCTGAATCATAAGAGGTACACTGCATTTAATATGGTCACTCTTCATTCATGCACTGCAAAAAATCATCTTACTTTCAGTTTGGGTCTTGTTTCTAATCCAAATATGTCTTAAATCAGTCAGCATTTTCTACACAAGCAAAACACATAGTCTTGTTTTCGGTAAAAATGAGCCAAATGAAGCGAGTTTTTCCCTAAAACAAGCAAACTTTGGGCTATAAATGTCAGCCAAAATGTTTCATATTTTGATAGATTAAACACAAACTAACTAATTAGATTGAAACATCAGAGATAGCCTGTAGTGTACACACACATACACACACACACACACACCTGATGATCATTTTGTCTTGTCTGCCTCTAGTCTAACACTGACACAGTGGAGAAAACCAGTGTAAATGATGTCTTTACCTGTGTCCAGTATCAACGGCCATGCTTTAATGTCCACAGCCGCCGCCGCCTCTTTGGATTTCAGTAGCTTCATTATTGCTTGAGTGGTCAGAATACACACAGACTTACTGACCTGGAAATACACCCACCCACACACACACACACACACACACACACACAGAAATGTCGGTTAGAGATCAAAACATACAGTGGTCACAAAACAAAGTGTACAGACAGAATAAAATCCAGCGGATGATGAAGGAGCATCTGTTGCGTAAAATCTATGCTGGAATAGTTGGCGGTTCATTACACTGTGGCAACCCTGGACTAAGCCAGAGGAAAATTAATGAATGAATGAATGAATATTTAAAGCCAGAGAAACGCAGAATATTATAATTTTTTATATGATATGTCATATGATATATTTGATATATGAGGTATGATATATGATATTATATAATATTTGATATGATTTGACATATGATACGTTATTTGATATTAGATGTATTTGATTTCATATATGGTACAATATTTGATATAACATGATATTATATGTGATATGATGTTGGAACTTATATATGATATGATATATGATATGATTTAATATTTGATGATATGATATATGATATAATGTATGATGTATGATATTTGAGATGATATGTGAAATGATTTCATATTTGATATGATATATGATTCGATTTGTAATATGATTTATTATTTGATTTGATATATGATATTTTATATGATACGTGATATGATTTAATATTTGATATGATATATATGATGTATGATATATGATATTTGATATAATGTATGATATTTGATATGATATGTGATATGATTTAATATTTGATATGATATATGATATGATGTATGATATTTGATATATTTTAAATTATTTAATATTTGAAATGATATATGATATTTTACATATGTGATATGATTTAATATTTGATAAAATATATGATATGATGTGTGATGTATGACATATGATATGTGACATGATATGTGGTATGATTTAATATTAGATTTGATATGATATGATATTATATTTTATATATGTGATATGATTTAATATTTGATATGATATATGATATGATGTATGATATATGATATATAATATTTGATATGATATGTGATATGATTATATATTTGATTTGATATGATATATGATATGATATTTTATATATGAGATATAATTTAATATTTGATATGATATATGATATGATGTATGATATATGATATATGATATTTCATATATGTGATATGATTTTGTATTTGATTTGTTATGATATATGATATTTGATATATGTGATATGATATGTGAAATTATTGAATATTTGATATGATATACGATATGATATATTTTTAAAACTGCTCTTGATAGTTTCTCCACAGCAGTATTTATTCCTCCAGATTGTGTGAGTAAGTGTGTTTGGGGTCACCTCAACAATCATCTTGACGGTAGGCAGGGTTGTGGTCAGGTTCTGCGGGTGTGGGGGTCTGACGGTGACGGGAACACAGCCGGCGTACAGACAGCCATAAAACGTGGCGATCAGATCAATGCCTGCACAGGTCAAACACACAGATAGAGAGAGAGAGAAGAGTGAGAAAACATGTATCTGGACACAGCCACTGAGATAGGAACTTGCAACGGTTGTCCTGCCTCCAAGCTCTACTGACAGTGATGAGCAGTATCAGTGATGATCTTTTAATTGTGTCTGAAAAACACCGTGCTTACGTGCATGGCACTTCAAAAGTCCATCAAATGCATGTGTACATTTAAAAACTCTTTTAATAAATTGTAGTATGTGTAAAGGACAGCCAGGATGACTTTAGCGGTCGATTTAACCAGCAATCAAATATACATTGTTCACACAGGCAACAGCGTACCGGAGTTTTCCTGCAAAAGCACCATTCCCTTTTCACAATACTGGTCAATTCTGACATCATTACCCCGAAATGACCAGTCAGATCTTGTCATAGCCCTATTTTATTGATCAGAGCACACTCATATATTTGTCTCTCACCAGGAGGATACAGCAGTGCTACGTGATCTCCAGCGTTCAGTCGTCCTCTCTCCATCAGCGCTAACGCCACACGCTCCGCACGCTTGTGCAGCTGCACACAGGACGCAGTGTTGACCACAGTGCCCTGCAGAGACACACACACACACGGTGAGAGGACAGAAACACACACCCTGTCCACTGAAAGGGCTCTATGTTAACAGTCTAGGCGCAAAGTCTAAAATGCATGGAGCAAAAGGACATGTCTGAATGCACTTTAGCTATATTAAGGATGGGAAAAACTGTCTGCGCACCAGCTGCATGAACTTAAAGAGTTGTCTTCATTCATTCATTTTCTTTTCGGCTTGGTCCCTTTATTAATTTGCTGTACCTTAGAGTTGAGCAGCAGGAACAGAGGGTGATCTGGCGTGGCCTGAGCTCTCCACTGCAGGACATCCTGAAGATACAGAAACTACACACACACACACACGCACACACGAACGCACGCACGCACACACGCACGCACACACACACACACACACACAGTTGAGTCCAGTTGGGTTCAGGACTGGAGCAGGCTTAGCGGAGTACATTCCAGTTAATTACAGACATACATACATTAAAAATGTTTAGTGATACAGGAAAGTCTATTGGTTGGTTAGTTTGGGGATACATTTAGTTGTAGAGACAGGTTTACTGGTAAGGGTAGAGTTGGTTAAGGTTATGGACTAGTTCAGAGGTATGGTTAAGGGTTAAGAGTGTTTTGTCATATAGTACACCTTTATTACGTGTTGTCTAACGCTGAAATCCATGATCATCGTGTTTACTGCATGTCACTTAATAGCGGCTTTATTATTACGTGTGATCCTCCATATTTTGATAAACCCTGCAGAAAATCCAGCTTAAACCAGCCTAGGATGGTTAGCTGGTTTTAGGTGATCGACCAGCCTGGTTTTAGAGGGGTTTTGGCCACTTCCAGGCTGGTTTCCAGCCATTTCCAGCCTGATCTTAGCTGGTCAGGCTGGAAAGTGAACAGCTAAAACCATCTAAAACCAGCTTGACTATCCTGGTTTAAGCTGGACATAGCTGGTTTTGGCTGGGCTCCCAGCCTGGCTAGGCTGGTCAAGCTGGTCATCTCCCAGCCTGACCAGCTAAAACCAGGCTGGAAATGGCTGGAAACCAGCTTGGAATTGGCCAAAACTCCTTTAAAACCAGCTTGGTTGTCTAGCTAAAACCAGCCAACCATCCTAGGCTGGTTTAAGCTGGATTTTGCAGCAGTGAAAGTGAGTCTGGGTTGATTTGGCCTGTACCTGGTCGTGGTCCTCCAGCTGGGTCACGTCTCTGCCACAGGCCTGTGCAATCCTCTTTCCTGCCACCAGGTTTCCCACGATCATAGAAGCCGGACCCACCTCTGAAACAGCAGAGACGGCAGGTCACATGACCAGCACAATACACACACACACGCGCACGCACACACACTGGACTCACCGGTGCCGGGCTGCTTCTGTCTGGGTTTGGGCAGGTTGGTGACGCAGGTGTGTGGGCACATGAGCACGTTGCAGGGGTGCAGGGCTCCCTCCAGGAAGCGCTGCTTGCTCTCAGAGATGTGGATGCCGCCAAGAGGAGCTTTGGGGAGTGTGTTTGCTGGAACCAGAGCCAGACAGTACACGCCCACCTGATGGATGCTGTCGATAGCCTGACAACCACACACAAACAGCTCGCGTTATCAAAAATAACATATATGGAACTATGGGAATTTAGCAGAGAGTACAGGACTTTCAAATAATGAATAATAAGTATTACTGTGGAGAAAAAGGAATCTATTTTTATTACTTTTGTGTCTTTATTTTCTTATGAGAAAAATGTTTAGACTAAAAACAGATTAATCAATCTTTTTCTTTTGTATAATACCATATATTGAGCGGGCATACTTCTTCTATTTTATTGTGCTGCATACTTTTAAGAAGGATCTGCTGACAAGAGGGGAATAGCAGAATAAGAATAAATATAGTGTGGGGGCCCTGGTTCCAGACGGCTGTCTAATAAGAAGTTTAGACAAGCCACAAGGAGCATGATGCTTGTAGAAGTTGTGAAATATTTTAAAGATGCACGTAATTGATCAGTTCTGGTATGCAGAGCGGGTTGCAGGAAGAGGAAGTATGTCTGGGTGCAACACTCAAAGGACTGCAGAATGACTGATAAGTGACGTTACAGCAAAACTCCACCTGCTAATATCAGTTGTAAGGGTGTCACGATCCTCTAAATCCTCGATTCGATTACATTTTCGATTCTAAAGGCACGATTCGATTCGATTTTCGATTATGAATAATTAATTAATTAATGACCAATTAATTGTTCGTAGTCTACCGTTTAAACTACCTGACCTGCATGGTCTTTGTTTTACCCATAAACAAATCATACAGTAAATGAATAAAGGCAAGATACACACATAATTACCACCTGTCAATCACTTTTTCTGCGGGACTCGTGAATAGGCAGTGATCTGTGTCGTTATAATGGCGTCGGTAAAAAAGACGCACAACCAACAGGAACCAGCCAACAGTATCTGAGGTGTTCGCTAAAATGACGAAGTACAAGTGAGTGAAAGATTGAAGCAGTCCTCTGACTGCCTGGACCTGCTGTCTCGAGCGCATGGCTGTGTGTGTGTCTGTGTGTGTGTGTGTGTGTGTATGGTCACGTGATGTGCATTTTCAGAGGTAGAGAGGAAGGAGGGCTGCTCAGAAATGCTACACGCCACTGTGGATGTCAAATCGTTGTCGTTCTAAAATGCCATTTAAAAACAAAGACAGTGTAAACAGGGCCTGAGTGTGAACTTTTCCCCAGCGGATTTGCAACGGGGGCGGGCGGAGGATTGCGATGCCGGTGTTGTCTATCGGACGAACCGTACGTAATACGTACATAGCAGAGCTAGCAAAACTGTGTTTTTTTTGTCGACAACACGAATGTTGTCAACATAACTCACTGGAAATCCAAAATGCTTCCACACCGGCGACTTCATTAAAAGAGGAGAGGGTTTAAGCTCTGTCGACGGGTCTCCTGCGTCTGCAGTTTAACAAGCACTTCAACAAGCCTGTTATTTCCCGCTTGGCAAGCCAAGCTGACGTGACATGGGGGCGTGGCAGCATAGACGATTCCATTTTTGGATTCGATAATCAAAATTGAGCATAAATTTCAATTGATTTCGATTAAAAATCTAAATCGTGACACCCCTATTCAGTTGTGTGTATATGCTGGAGTCAGGAAATGTAGGTGAGTTGCGAACCTCTTGAATGTAATTCTTGTATTGCATTGGGGTAACGTAACCCAGAGCTCTGTCATCTAACTATTCATTTGTATCTAATAAACTACAAATATTTTTGGCATTGAAGGAATATCTCCAGACCTTTTCTTATTGAACACGCATGGAATTGGCTTGATATTCCAACATCACACATAAGTGGTTTCATGTTGTTTCACCAAAAGCTGCATGGCATCTGATCTTTTTAATTACAATTTGGGCCACTGTCATATGTGGTATTTCATCATTAACATGATGTGTTGCAGTGCTACCCAAGCGTGAAACGTTACAAAGTGAATTAATAAACATTTCTCATGCTCCAAAAATTGTTTTTCAGTGTGTATGGGGCGCAGGACGGTAAATCTGCCATGATTCTGTCCTCCAGCTGCCGTTATCAGTCTCACACTATTGTTCTCCTCTTTCTGAAAGTCTTGATAACCCTATCCTGGAGTTACTCTTTCATTATTTCAGCTAATAGGATTGTAAATAAATGATTTGTTGTACTCTCCTTTTCACTGCGCTCTGAGTTTACACACTATGACCACTTCTGCTGCTGACAAACCAGAAACAACATGTGAAACGGCTCCATTGAGAAATGCTGACAGAATACACAGTCTGTACAGTACAAACACCATTACAGCTACAGGGTGAGCCCATAAACATGGAAACGTGTGTGTGTGTGAGTGTGTGTGTGTGTTCACCTGCAGCACTCGGCTCATCCACTGAAAGCTGTCCTCCTCTGAAGCGTCTGGTCTCTGCTCCGCCACCACTACTATCCGCTCATCATGCAGCACCGACACAGAAAACACTGCGATCCTGACAGAAAACACACACATCTTCAGATGAACACACTCCTCTCAACACAGGAGATGAAGATGAGAGAATAAATAACGCTAAGAGACATCTCCACACCATGATTCCATAATAACAGCAGCACATTCCATACTTAATTATGACATGAATATTCATGAGATTGTAAGCATGCTTGTATTAAAGTTCGCGGTTGTTGTGGGAAGAAGAAGACAGGGTCTGCGATTGGTTTATTTTTATAAATGCGTATAATTACTGTGCAGGTACACCTCACTCCTCTGACCTCTAAAAGTGCTCTAGTGACTGATGTTAGAGGCCATTGTCTTTAGCCTCCTTGGTAGAGCAACCGACTCCCATGCGGAAGGTTGCCGGTTCGATACCAGCTCCGGTTGGGTGGTGTAGGACCAGCAAGGTTATAAATGCACAACATGTGTGTATGTGTGTGCGTGTGCTCTCCCTTCTCTCTCGGCTGCTCCTTCTGTTCTCCTTAATAAAGGAGCACAATCACTAGAATAAACAGGTGTTATTTATTATTTCTGATTAGCCGCCGAGCTCTGAGCATGCTCTCCCCCATCATTGGGTGTTCAATCATGCTTACCTCTCCACAGTGCTTAAGACACCTGTCATTAAGTGTCATACGCTGAGTTTTGTCATTTTAAACGCACAGATGACATTGTTTGAGATGTGTTTGTTATGACATCTTGACGTTACCATGGCAACATAACCTGTCATAAATCTGTCATAAACATGATTGTCATGAGGACATTATAACTGTGTCATGAATGTTATTACGGTGCAAATTCATATACATATATGAATTACAATACATGGGCAGCACGGTGACTCAGTGGTTAGCACTGTGGCCTCACAGCAAGAAGGTCGCTGGTTCGAGTCCCAGCTGGGTCAGTTGGTGTTTCTGTGTGGAGTTTGCATGTTCTCCCCGTGTTGGCGTGGGTTTCCTCCGGGTGCTCCGGTTTCTCCCACAGACCAAACACATGCGCTATAGGGGAACTGATCAACTACACTGGCCGGAGTGTATGAGTGTGTGTGTGAATGAGTGTGTATGGGTGTTTCCCAGTACTGGAAGGGCATCTGCTGCGTAAAACATATGCTGGAATAGTTTGTGGTTCATTCCGCTGTGGGGACCCCTGATTAATAAAGGGACTAAGCCGAAAAGAAAATGAATGATGAATAAATCTCAATACAGCTGATATTAATGACACAGCTATACAATTATTTGACACTGTTAATAGACGACACTAGTTACTGACGTAAGCATGGATAAAATCTCATTAATATTCATGAATATTCCTGTCATGATTATAAATGTGTCCAGTAAGTCCCCCTTCAAGTAAAGTGTCACCCATTTGTTTTTGTAATTATTATCATGGATTAACTTTAGAGTATCTCTGATACACCATGGCGTAGTTAAACAGCAGATGATCAGATATTCTCCAGTTAAATACCTTCCTCTGTAGACAAACTTCATGGGCTCGACGGCCAGCGCTGTGGCCACCACATCATCAGCATTATGCCTGCGTCCACTGACCACCATCAGCCCGTCCAGCTTGCCCACCACAAACACCAGATTATCCTGCAACACAAGCATGCACACACACACACACACACACACACACACACACACAAACACACACCATGAGCTTGGAGGAGGAGTCAAGGGCGTAGAATTAACCCTCGTGTGCTGTTGGGTTGTTTTCATCTACTCTGGGCTGATTTTGAGCCTTAATTTGGCCTCAACTGTCTCGGTGTTTCAGCAAATGGCGTCATTTATGCTGATAAATCTTATTTTGACACACATTTTAGGAAAATGCTTTGAAAAGTCTTTGAATACAGTCTGTTCAGATTGACTCTTTGGTGATGTTGGTGCTGTTTTTGCCCCATTGACTTCCATTATAATCACATTTATTGACATATAATCATGCGTTACTGATTGCTGCTGTCGCCTCTCAGCAAGAAGGTTGCTGGTTCAAGCCCTGGCTGGCTCAAGTGGTGTTTCTCTGTGAAGTTTGCATGTTCTCCCCGTGTTGGCGTGTGTTTCCTCTGCTCCAGTTTCCCCTATAAGTCCAAACACATGCGCTATAGGGGAACTGATTAACTAAATTGGCCGTAGTGCATGAGTGTGTGTGTGAATGTGAGTGTGTATGGGTGTTTCCCAGTACAGGGTTGCAGCTGGGAAGACATCCGCAGTGTAAAACATGTGCTGGATAAGTTGGTGGTTCATTCTGCTGTGGCGACCCCTGATGAATGAAAGGACTAAGCCGAAGGGAAATGAATGAATGAATAGTATGTGTGTGTGCACATAAACTCTCAGTAAACAGAAGCCTTTATTGAACTCTTTTTATGGGGGGATTTGGTTAAATTAGGTCCCCACCAATATCAAAACCCTATCTTCACCCTTGAGAGAAATACTGCAGAAATGTGGACCCACCGGACCAATGAAGCCCAGCAGAGAGGTGCGTGTGAAGGCTCGGTCACTGATAGGAGCTCCTGATGATGTGACGGGAATGGTCTGGGGAAAAAAAGTTAAAACATATACATATGCAGATGTAGTCAGAATTGTTATCCCTCCTTTATAAAATGTCCCAATTTCTGTTTAACCGAGAGCAGATCTGTTCAGCACATTTCTGCACATAAGAGTTGTAATAACTCATCTCTAATAACTGATTTCTCTTTGCCATGATGACAGCACATAATATTAGACTAGATATTCTTCAAGACACTAGTGTTCAGCTTAAAGTGACATGTAAAGGCTTCACTAGGGTAATTAGGGTAAAGTTAGGGTAATTAGGCAAGTCATTGTATAACAGTGGTTTGTTCTGGAGACAATCCAACACTAATATTGCTGAAGGGGTGAATAATATTGACCTTACAATGGCTTTAAAAACTATTAAAAACTGCTTTTATTCTAGCCAAAATAAAACAAATAAGGCTTTCTCCAGAAGAACAAACATTAGAGGAAACACTGTGGAAAACTCCTGAATCTGTTCAACATCATTTGGGAAATATTGGAAAAAGTTAAAAATATTTCACTAAATTGCAAAGCTTAACCCTTTATAAGGCGCTCGTTTATTTACACTAATGCTGTTTAATCACAATCAATCACATCCAAAAATAAGTGTGTTAATATAATGTGTGTGTACTCCCTGTGTATAAATATTATATGTTAATAAATATATAAAATTATATATATATACACACACACACATAGTCAAGCCTGAAATTATTCATACTATTGGCATATTCTGACTTAAAGTTAGTCTTTTATTCAACCAGAACGTGTGTTTTGTGATTAGAAATGACCCAGGCATCTCCCAGAAGATAATAAGACGAGCTACAAGACGCATCATTGAGGAAGAACAATATTTGCACACCTCAAAGACATTCTTGGTCATTCCTGGCAGACCATAATAGGAGATTCCTGTAGTGCTGGAGCTCACACAGATCTCTCCAACCTCATCCGTACGGCAGAGATACGGCGTTCCCTCCACACGAATCACACACACCAGCCCTGGACATGCACACACACAAACATATACATACACACACACACACACACACACAAACACACACACACACACACACACACACACACACACACACACACACACACACACACACACACACACACACACAGTGAGATCAGTGTAAGCTTTATAACAGTAAAATGGTCAACAAAAAGTGTTTTGTCACATCTACAGCATCCGTCGGCTCAAACACAGACTCACCTCCGGGCATCACCTGTCCCGCGTCCTGCACTGTGAGGACGGAGAGCTTCTCCTCGGTGTCCACCCGAATCACTCCATAGCTCAGACCACTCATGGAGAGAACAGCCTTACCTGGAGGAGGAACACCTGTCTCTGGAGGCCTGTGTGCGCACACACACACAAACAGACACGAACACACACACTTTGGTTTTTACAACAGTAAACTGCGGTGTATTGTAGCATAATATACCCTACAGTTGTAAAAAACTACAGTAATGACTCATTTGTTTATATTACTGTAGTTGTTGTGTTTCCATAGAAACTGTAGAATCACCACAACAGATTACTGTAGCTGTTGTGTTACCATAGCAACTGTAGAATCACCACAACAGATTAATAACTATAGTTGTTTGGTTACCATAGCAACTGTAGAATCACCACAATGGATTACTATAGTTGTTGTGTTACCATAGCAAGTGTAGAATCACCACAACAGATTAATTACTGTAGTTGTTGTGTTACCATAGCAACTGTAGAATCACCACAACCATAGCAACTGTAGAATCACCACAACAGATCAAAACTATAGTTGTTCGATTACCATAGCAACTGTAGAAACACCACAACAGATAAATCACTATAGTTGTTGTGTTACCATAGCAACTGTAGAATCACCACAAGTACTTTCCTATAGTATGGTTCAAAAACTGTATAGTATCTACTGTAATTCACTACAGTATTTTGTCACGTGTCCACCTATTAGCATGTGTCAGTTGTGTACAACTCAACTTCTGGTGATGAATATTTTATATAATATGTTGTAAATACTATGTTGTATGTGTATGCAAATCGGTTGAGCAGTGCTGTAGTCTGATTGGCTGCAGTGTGAGTCTGTACCTGCGGATGGCGACGGTCAGGGCCTCAGAGGAGCTGGCACACGGACAGATGACCTCAGGACGCAGCCCGCGCGACTGAAACACATTCAGGAAGGCATCGCACGACGAAATGGACCCTGTGTGTGCATGAACACGATCACAGTGAAGACCACTGTCAGTACATTCAATCCGGAATCACAGGAGTATGAGTGTGTGTATGTAGCTTGTATTTAATACATTACGAGGACTAAATGTCCCCAAAAATATAGCAACACCAAAAAATGTTGATTTTATGGGGACTTTTTTTGGCCTCCATGAGGAAAACGGCGAGAAGAGAATCAGAGTTGGAGTTTGGGTGTGTAAGTATGTGTGCACATATGTATCACTGTGCTTGTGTGTGTAAGTGTATGCGTGCATGTGCGTGTGCGTATGTGTCAGTATATTTGTGTGTATGTAAATGTATGCTCTTGTGTTTGTGCGTTTGTGTGAGTGCATTTATGTATGTGTGTGTGCATATGTGTCAGTATGTTTGTGTGTATGTAAGTGTGTGTGTGTACTCACAGGGATTGGCTCCGTCTGCTACAATGAGCATGCGTAGAGAGCTCAGACTGATGTCTCTCTGATCCCGCTGGGCTAAAAGTGACCAGTGCATGTCCCTGGACTTCACCACGGCAACACGTGCTGTCAGATAGACACACACACATACACCTTCAGTCACTGTCCAATGTGTGTATTCAGTGTGTGTGTGTGTGTGTGTGTGTGTGTGTGTGTGTGTGTGTGTGTGTGTGTGTTTTACCTTTATAAGTGTGCACTTTCTGTATCCAGGACAGAGGGTTGACCTTCATCAGTGAGTACGGGATGCTGATCACATGCATTCTGTTCATCACACTCTGAACACCAGCAGGAGGAACAACACAACATCACTGACTGACTGATGTCTGAGTGTGTGTCAGTGTGTGTGTGTGTGTGTGTGTGTGTGTCGGCATGTTTCTCTTTTCGAGTGTGTGTGTGTGTGCAGGAAAACTCACCGTCAAGACCCCGTGCCATAAACCAGCGTCCCGCTTGAAGTCCAACACATTAGTTATAACCTCTCCTGTGAGTGACCACAAACACACAGAACACACACACACACACACATACATTCACAAGAAATGCTGAGCTCAGCAGAAAGAAGAACATCATAACTCACATTACAACTACTGTTGACAGTGACATATGTCAAGATAAGCAAATGTCCCCACAAGTATAGCAATACCAGTCATTATATTGTGCGTTCGCCCACACTCACCCTCTGTGTATCCGCAGGCCTGTGTGAGCGCATGACAGTGAGCCAACATGGCGGAGTGAGACACCGTGACCCCCATAGTGCTGCCCTCCTTACCGGTCTTATACTGTCAACAACACACACACACACACACATGCTGATATACACACTGCAGACAGACAGACAGACAGACAGACAGACAGACAGACAGTGTTTCTGACCTCTATGTATGCGATCTCGTTGCTGGCGTCTCGTATTGGTGGATGCCAGTCTTTAGGAGGCTTTACAACATGTTTTCCATCAGTAACAAACCACAGCAGCCGAGGCCAGCCTGACAACACACACACACACACACACACACACACACACACACACAATAAAGAGTCTGAAAAACTATTGGTCAAAAACTTGCATCAAAATTTTTGCAGGTGAAGGGGTGGAGCCACTGATTAAGAGGAGGAGCTACTGATGAATAGGAGGTGCTACTGATAAAGGGGTGGAGCTACTGATGAAGAGGAGGTGCTACTGATAAAGGGGTGGAGCTACTGATGAAGAGGAGGAGCTACTGATGAAGAAGAGGTGCTACTGGTAAAGGGGTGGAGCTACTGATGAAGAGGAGGTGCTACTGGTAAAGGGGTGGAGCTAATAATTAAAAGGAGGAGCTACTGATAAAGAAAAGAGCTATTGATGAAGAAGAAGTGCTACTGATAGAGAGATGGAGCAGCTGATTAAGAGGAGGAGCTACTGATGAAGAGGAGGTGCTACTGATAGAGAGATGGAGCTACTGATTAAGAGGAGGAGCTACTGATGAAGAGGAGGTGCTACTGATAGAGAGATGGAGCAGCTGATTAAGAGGAGGAGCTACTGATGAAGAGGAGGTGCTACTGATAAAGGGGTGGAGCTACTGATTAAGAGGAGGATCTACTGATGAAGAGGAGGAGCTACTGATGAAGAGGAGGAGCTACTGATAAAGAGGAGGAGCTAGTGATAAAGAGGAGGGGCTACTGATGAAGAAGAGGCGCTACTGATGAAGAGGAGGAGCTATTGATGAAGAGGGGGAGCTACTGATAAAGAGGAGGGGCTACTGATGAAGAGGAGGGGCTACTGATGAAGAAGAGGCGCTATTGATGAAGAGGAGGAGCTATTGATGAAGAGGGGGAGCTATTGATGAAGAGGGGGAGCTACTGATAAAGAGGAGGGGCTACTGATGAAGAGGAGGAGCTGCCGATAAAGAGGAGGAGCTATGGACGAAAGGGAGGAGCTACTGATAAAAGGATGGAGATACTGATTAAGCAGAGGAGCTACTGATGAAGAGGAGGAGCTGCTAATGAAGGGGAGGAGATAATGTTGAAGAGGAGGAGCTACTGATGAAGGGGAGGAGCTGCTAATGAAGGGGAGGAGATAATGTTGAAGAGGAGGATCTACTGATGGAAGAGAGGAGCTATTTGTGAGGAGGAGGGGCAACTGATGAAGGGGAGGAGCTAGTGATGAATTTATTTCAGTAATTTCCCACACTGCCTGGGGAATGTTTTATCTGTTGTAGTTTTTCATTTGGGGTGACACTAAACTCTAGATCACACCACACAGTTGAGTGTTCAAGTACACGAGTGCGTAGTGTACACTGTGCCATTTGGGATGCAACTAAGGACTTTAAATGCAAAACCATGATGACCTTGTTGTGAACAGCCCACCTTTAAAAGTGACCACCTCCCCAGTCTGTGCTTTGGGCAAACCCTTCTGGCAGGCGTCAGTGGTCAGAGCCAGAGTGACCCCACAGCTGCCCAGCAGAAAGCCCACCTGCTGCCCGCCCGCATCCTACACACACACATACATCCATCAGCTCTAATAATCACACCACACACAGTCAATATTCTCTTGACACACTGAACAACTTTTAGAGCAATGATGACCAGTAACTTTGGAAAATTATGTCATCAATGAGCAACCAAACGAGACACAAATTAGGGCCACTAGATCCAGATACAATAGCAATAGAGAAGTACACATATGAACACACTCACATACACACACATGCACACACACACACACACACACACACACACACACACACACATGCACACACACACACACACACACACACACACACACACACACACACACACACACACAGGATTTCCTCTATGGTTTATCTGCTGTAATGATCATCAGTACCTTTCGAGTGAGCGGCACCTCTATGGGCACGGGCACCAGCTCCGCCAGCAGACAGCCGTAAAACGCGACCATGAACATCACTGGGTCATTATTGGGGAACACCAGTGCAACCTGCGGACAACAGATTATCAGAGTATTCCTTTTACTAGTTTACATTTGATTGCTTATTCTTTTAAACAAGCACCACTCGTGTATAGCCCAGTGTATTTGCCCTTTATTTTTCTTTTTACAACATTTACCGACACAAGTTCACCCAAAAGTGACAATCCTGTCATCATTTACTCTCCTTACACTTGCTATAAACCTGTTTGAGTCTCAAAGGATCTCTGTTAATGAATTTCCCAACATAATGCAGTAATAACTATAATAAACTGATAAATATACTGAAGTATACTTTAGCTTTTATTACAGTCAACTGTGGTGTGTTGGAGTATATTATAGTCTATAGCTGTATAAAACGACAGTATTACCTCATTTGTTTATATTGCTATTGCTGTTGTGTTGCCATAGCAACTGTAGAATCACCACAACAGATCAATTACTATAGTTGTTGTGTTACCATAGCAACTGTAGAATCACCACAACAGATTAATTACTGTAGCTGTTGTGTTGCCATAGCAACTGTAGAATCACCACAACAGATGTATCGAATAATGTCACTATAGTATGATTCAAAAACAATATAGCTCCTAATTTAAATGACTACAGTATTTTTTCATGATGCTTTTGTGTGCGTGCGTGTGTGTGTGTGTGTGACTCACTCTGTCTCCAGGTCTCAGCAGTGGTTCATTCCTGCTGCTCAGTTTGTTAAGCAGTGTGAATGCCAGTTTCTGACTCCGCGTCCACAGCTTCCCTACACACACAAACACACACACACACACACACACACACACACACACACACACACACACACACACACACACACACACACACACACACACACACATTTATAGAAACAAACACCCACTCAAAAGGTACTCTGTCACGATATCTTTGTTTAACAGGATATAAGATGTCTGTCCCATCACCCAGTGCTAGCAGCGGTGTGTGTAAACACTCAGTGATGTAGCTTATGTGAGTGTGTAGAGGGGCTTGTGTGTGTGAACGCTCAGTGATGTACCGTATGTGAGTGTGTAGAGGGGTTTTCCTGTGTTGTCCAGTGAGGTCAGGCAGGGGCTCTTGGCCTGAGTGTTTCCCCAGCGATGCAAGGACCCCAGCAGAGACGAGGGCCGGTTACTGGAGACCACTGGTGGGTCCCCGCTCAGAGGCCGCATCTCCCCTCCCTCTGGCTTCGGCTGCTGCGGGTCTGGATGCTGCACTGCAACACACACAACATCATACAATAAACCACATTCAAATGATTGGGGTCAGAATTTGGCGTCAGCAACATGAAAGCATGGATCATCCTGCCTTGTATCAGCGGTTCAGGCTGGTGGTGGTGGTGTAATGGTGTGGGGGAGATTTTCTTTGGTTCCATTAGTACCAATTGAGCATGGTGTCAACGCCACAGCCTTTCTTGAACATGACGATGAGTTCACTGTGCGCAAATGGCCTCCACAGTCACCAGAGCTCAATCCAATAGAGAAGCTTTGGGATGTGGTGGAACGGGAGATTGGCATCATGGATGTGCAGCCGACAAATCTGCAGCAACTGTGTGATGCTATCATGACAATATGGAGCAAAATCTCTGAGGAATATTTCCAGTAGCTTGCTGAATCTACGCCACCGAGGATTAAGGCAGTTCTGAAGGCAACCCGGAACTAGTAAGGTGTACCTAATAAAGTGGCCGCTGAGTGTGTATAAGAAGAAATACTAAGGAACATCTATATATCAGATTTGCATATGGACATCTTCATATGCGATGCTCTGATCTTAAAAGCTTTTGAATAAAAATGTTTGAGCTAAAATGAGTCAGAAGAGTTTCAGCAATAGGCAGGAGATGGAGGTGAGAGAGAGTTTAATGTCAGCGATCGCCTCAGGGTGACTCGAGTGTCCTGAAGGCGAGATGTGACGCGGCTGTAAATAGACCTGATTGATTTTGTGTGTCTGGAACAGAGAGAAAGAAAAGCGGAGAGACCGACAGAATGCAAAGAGAAGATGCTGCGGCGGCGGAGAGAACATGAAGGAGCGTTTCTCATTATTATTGAAAGAGCGAGCCGACTGAACAAAGACAGAGAGAATACAAGTTGATATTGATCCACAGGCTTTCTAAAAGCTCTTTATTAACTTTAATAACACTCAAAGAGTCTGTTGACCACTTCACAAGAGCCAGAGTATATATAACAGAGGGATTTATCACTATAACGCAAACAAAACTGACCACAGAAAAGACTGAGTACTGCGTTACCATTCACAAAGAAAAAATACAAAAATACATAAGAAAATTAATGTTTAAAGGGTGTTTTTAGGTGTAAGTTACATTATTTGGCATTCAGCATCTATGATAAGCCAACAGAACAAATTAATGTGCTGATATGCTAACACTGTTATGACGTTTGACCTCTGACTAACAAGACTGTCCAGCAGGTGGCGCCACAAACTAGGCAGCAATGATACATGCAGTGTGTGTGTGTGTGTGTGTGTGTGTGTGTGTGTGTGTGTGTGTGTGTGTGTGAAAACTTAATATTCTGTAGTACATTTAGTGATTGTTTAAGGCAGTTTCAGTCGTCATACATCTTCATCATAATCATCTAAAGCAGTGTTTCTTAACCACATTGCCACCAGCACTGCATGTTTAGGATGTCTCCTTTGTCTGTCACACCCATTACAAGTCTTTGAGTCTTTGCTAATGAGCTGATGATCTGAATCAGGTGTGTTTGGTGTAAGAGACATGGTACTGTAAATGTGCAGAGCTGGTGCTCCTCCAGGAACGCGGTTGAGAAACACAGTCTCTCATTTGCTGTGTGTGATGATTTTGTGGGTTTTTACAGGTTTGCTGCATTTATAAAGAGTTTGTGTTGTTCGAGTCTGTCTAATGTGATTTTTATATATGTGTGATTTGATTGGATGGGAATGGTAACACAACAGCTACAGTAATTAATCTGTTGTGGTGATTCTACAGTTGCTATGGTAACACAACAGCTACAGTAATTAATCTGTTGTGGTGATTCTACAGTTGCTATGGTAACACAACAGGTACAGTGATTGATCTGTTGTGGTGATTCTACAGTTGCTATAGTAACACAACAGCTACAGTAATTCATCTGTTGTGGTCTTACCATCCAAAAGCTCCTCGAAGTCATCAAGGAAGAACTCTCGTAGAGGAGGTCTCTTTGGCCTTTTGAGAGTGTTGAGGAGCTGCTGGATCTTGGAGGACACTCGACTGTTGACTGGAACACCTTCAGACAGACATGGAGAAGACGGACTATGTTGAAATCATCAAATCATATCATGGCTTTCCACATGACACAATGCACTGCATTAAATGTAAAGAAAAGTCAGTCAGGTTAAATATGCTTCTTGTTTTTTTTTTACTTCTTCAAATCAAGCTTTAGCATTTGTTTTAGAATGTATATACAATAAATAAAATAGAGCAGGAAAGTTTTGCTAGCTGGTTTATAACGACTATAACAGAATCATTTGTATTCAGGCAAATGCAGTATTTCACACAACAGAGTGAAGAGAACAAACAAAACACTCATCCTCAATGATGAATCTCTCAGAGACGTGACTTACTCAACTACCCACAACACACTGCAAGCTAACGAAAGAACGCTATAGCAATTTACAGTAAATATTACAGTGATCTTGAACCATACAGTGTGTTATAATAGATACATTAAGGTATTTACAACCCTTACTGTAGGATCAACAGCTGTGAACTGTAATAAACTCTGAAGCATACTTCAGTTTTTCTACAGTAAACTGTGGTGTATTCTAGTATAATATACCCAATAGTTGGAGAGAACTACAGTACTGGCTCATTTGTTTAAATAATTATAGTTGTTGTGTTACCACGGCAACTGTAGAATCACCACAACAGATTAATTACTATAGGTGTTGTGTTACCATAGCAACTGTAGAATCACCACAACAGATTAATTATTGTAGTTGTTGTGTTACCATAGCAACTATAGAATCACCCAAACAGATTAATTGTTGTAGCTGTTACCATAGCAACTGTAGAATCACCACAACAGTTTGATCACTATAGTTCTGTTACCATAGCAACTGTAAAATCCCCACAACTGATTAATTATTATAGATGTTGTGTTACCATAGCAACTATAGAATCACCACAACAGTTTTTTTACAGTAGTTGTTGTGTTACCATAGCAAGTAGAGAATCATCACAACAGATTAATCAATGTAGTTGTCGTGTTACCATAGCAACTGTGGAATTACCACAACAGTTTAATCACTGTGATTGTTGTGTTACTATAGCAACTGTAAATCACCACAACAGATTAATTACTGTAGTTGTGGTGTTACCATAGCAACTGTAGAATCACCACAACAGCAGTTGCTTTAGTAGTTGTTTTATCATAGCAACTGTAGAAGCATTCTAGTGATTCTACTGTTGCTATGGTAACACAACAACTACAGTTATCAATATGTTGTGGTGATACTACAGTTGCTATGGTAACACCACAAGTAAAGTAATATAAAGAACTGACCCAACACTGTAGTTTTCAACAACTATAGTGTATATGATACTGCAATACACCACAGTTTACTGTAGTAAAAAGTTAAGAATACTACAGTATTTATATTAGTTCACACTAGTTAATACTACAGTACGCTGTATGTGTTGTAAATAACATGTAGAAGTAGAACACAGGACACTGTTTCTGTGATAAGATGGGAATATTTAGCTAACACACTTCTTTTGCACAAGAATTGGATCAACATGAAACACTCTCAGACATGATCAGCTTTGGCTGTATTTGCATATTAAAATAATAAAACACCCAAAACTAAACAGTTGTATGCCGAGAGAACACCTTGAACAATTCATTAACCCACACTAACAAAGACACGAAGAGACACGCTGGGAGGAAATACTGTTCTCGTGATCATAAGTTCACAACACGGGGAGTTTAGCAGACGCTTTGAACACAGCACAGATGAACAGGGACACCAGGAGGAGGCGCACGCAAAGAAATGAGCATAAATACCATCCACGGCCTCCTCATCTGCCCTGACAGAGCCTGGAGAAGAGAAGAGCCCAATAAGCACACATGACAGCATGTGCTGAGCATGACACAATTAAGCTCATCAATGTGTCTCTTGTGTGAGGTTATTAGCCATAACCAAACAGCTGCCTTTCCAAGAACTAATAAACACTGCGACTGGTGAAAGAAAGCAGGTTAATCGTGAATTGCAGACAGAAACCATAGAAATGAGAACTGATGATCATCATTCAGCCAGGGTGCATCTTGGTGTCAAAACGACATTTAAAACACGTCAAAAATACTATTTGATTTGATGTCCAAACCTTGACGTCCATTTGACCAACACAACAAAAAGTATAGTGATGTAGGAAAAGCTTTAGTCAGCTGATAGCTTCAATTACACATTTTAAATTGACACTGGAACGTGTATCTCCACATTGCATGTGAACTCCCATGATGTCACCACATTTATATCTATCATTGATTATAGGAATGGCCATAGTTGATTTTTGACATGGTTTTTGATGCCAGATTACATAGGTTTAGGTTTAACAACTTTATTATTCCCACCAGGGGCAATTAAATTAGGGCAGTAGCATCATTGTACACCAAACACCTGAACCCTCTTCCACAGGGCAACAGTACAAGAAAGGCATCAACAACGTCAATTGGCATCAAATCGATTGCATTGTTGATGTGATTTTGACACATTGATGTGATTTTGGCTGAGTAATGTCAATCAAAAACAATGTTATTATTTTCCATGTCAAAGCAAAAAAAAAAAAATACATACAGTATCTAGGAATTTGCTGGTTTCTAAAACATTTTATTTTTTAGTTTGATCCATTAGGAATAGTTTATTTACAAAGAACTGAATATTCCTCTGCAAAACTGCTAATTGCTCTGCTAAATTTCAGCTAATGTTTCCCTAATCACTTTATAATTTACCCTTTTATCACCTGGTTTATTCTTATTTTTCATGCAGAAAATTTTTAAAAGTGTTTATTTATTGGTCAGTATATCGGTAATTGGCCGTCAAATTGAAAGAGTCATCGGTTACCAGTTCACTTTAGGTGTTTGCATATTTAAAAGTATTTGTGTGCTGCTGCACATCCCTGTGTGTAATAAGCAAAGTGTGCTTGTGTTTTGCACCCAAATATCACTAACACGTTCTCTAAATAACAAATAAAAATACTGCACCATGACCTTAGAGCAACTTCATAGCTGGTCAGTGGTGCCATCTAATTCAGTTGCCTTAAAATAGCAACATATCAGCAATGTGTATTATCACACCTTCTTTTCAGACCAGCACACCCATGAGAGCATAAAAGAGTGCAAAATCTGATGCTACATTGCACCTAGTGTGTTACTGTGTATATAGAGTGTTTGCCAGCAGGATGTTTTACCCTACAGTCAAGCTCCAACAAGAAGCACAATTCAATACATCCTGCGCAAATGATAAATGGCTAATGACACTTTTATGTGAGAAATCAAACTCAAAGTTCAGTCATTCATTTGAAATCTTGAAACGACATGCTAAAAACACGCTAAAAATGTTAACGAAATACTAAAGTCACGAAATACATGCTAAAAACATGCTAAAAACATGCTAAAAATGCTAACGACATACTAAAAACACACAAAAAATGCTTACGAAATGCTAAAGTCACGCTAACATACTAAAAACACGCTAAAAATGTTAACGAAATGCTAGTCACGCTAACGACATGCTAAAAACATGCTAAAAATGCTAACAACATGCTAAAAACACGCTAAAAATGTTAACAAAATGCTAGTCACGCTAACGACATACTAAAAACACGCTAAAATGTTAACAAAATGCTAGTCACGCTAACAACATACTAAAAACACGCTAAAAATAATAACGACATGCTAAAAACACGCTTGAAATGCTAACGACATACTAAAAACACGCTAAAAATGCTAACGACATACTAAAAACACGCTAAAAATGTTAACAAAATGCTAGTCACGCTAACGACATGCTAAAAACATGCTAAAAATGTTAACAACATGCTAAAAACACGCAAAAAATGTCAACGAAATGCTAGTCACGCTAACGACATACTAAAAACACGCAAAAAATGCTAACGACATGCTAAAAACACGCTAGAAATGCTAACGACATACTAAAAACACGTTAAAAATGTTAAGGACATACTAAAAACACGCTAAAATGTTAACGAAATGCTAGTCACGCTAAAGACATGCTAAAAACATGCTAAAAACAGTAACGACATGTTAAAAACACGCTAAAAATGTTAACGAAATGCTAGTCACGCTAACGACATGCTGAAAACATGCTAAAAATGCTAACAACATGCTAAAAACACGCTAAAAATGTTAACGAAATGCTAGTCACGCTAACGACATACTAAAAACACGCTAAAAATGCTAACGACATACTAAAAACACGCTAAAAATGCTAAAAACATGCTAAAACATGCTAAAGACAAGCTTCAATGGTCCTCTAGCTCCTGATCAGCTCCAGGTCTAAATGAGTGTAAATCTGGATTTTGCGGTGAGGTGCAGGTGAGTAGAATAGCTGATTCAACAAAAAAGGAGCATGCTAATGATATAGCAGGCAGAACCAGCCACCATTTCCAATAGACATGAACTCAATCATGCCTCACTAGCTTTGTATGTGTGTGTTTGTGTGACTCACCATCGGCCGTCTCCATCAGACTGGAGTGTGTGTATCCGCGGGGAAGGCCTCGCACTGACGCCACCTGTGGGCGCTCCGCATGCAGCGAGCGCTCCAACAGACCCGTCACATCCGGCGGTGCGCAGTGCTGGTCTGTCAGAACATACAGTAGTGGACATCACCATACTGTACAGCATGCAAACACTCCACAAACCAGGAGAAAATACACCATACATAGTGGACATCACCGTAGTGGACCGCATGCGAAACACACGCAAACCAGCAGAAAACACAGTCCTCATGCAAGAATAATGAGCAGACGTGCTGAGACGCTGAGTGAACTGAACAGACAAACAAACTCAAACATCTAAATTGATTTTTATCAGATTTTACATTGTAAAACAAATGTAAAATCATCTGTCAGAAAAGGAAGATGAAGTTAGACACCAATATTTTCTGATTAACTGTTGTTGTCTCTTTAAACTTTCTTTCTAATTCAGTGTGAACCCACATGAAGTACTGTAGTAAATTATAGTAAACATTGTAGTGTTTTTCAACCCTACAAAAGTAAAGCACTTGAACTAATCTGTTGGGGTGATTCTATGGTTGCTATGGCAACACAAAAATTCTAGTAGTTGTCTGTTGTGGTGATTCTACAGTTGCTATGGTAACACAACAACTATAAGAATTGTTTTGTTGTGGTGATTCTATTGTTACTATGTCAACACAAAAAAATATAGTATTTGTTTGTTGTGGTGATTCTACAGTTGCTATGGTAACAAAAATATAGTAATGGTTCTGTTGCTGTGATTCTATGGTTGCTATGGTAACACAATAACTACAGTAATTGATTTGTTTTGGTAATTCTACGGTTGCTATGGCAACAAAACAACTATAGTAATTGTTCTATTGTGTTGATTCTACAGTTGCCATGCTAACACAACAACTACAGTAATTAATCTGTTGTGGTGATTCTATAGTCACTTAAGGCAACACAACAACTTTAGTTGTTAATGAGTTGTGATGATTCTACGGTTGCTATGGCAACACAACAGTTATAACTATATATTAATATAAAATGAACCAATTCTGTGGCTTCAACTATAGGCGATATCATACTACAACACAACACCATTTACTAAAGCTGAAACTAAAGTATACTACAGTATTATTACAGTTTACCAGTTCTCTATACTACAGTAAGTGATACGAGTACTCCAATATATATATATATATATTACACTTTACTATAGTATGGTTCAAAAACACTATAGGGTTTACTACAGTATTTTCTCATGTGTGATGTTTACTGTCCATCTCAGCAGTTTGCTCTGCTCTTTTAGTGGGTTTATGTGCAGTGACACAGTGTGAAATCTGTGGTTATTTACAGTCACAGCCGCGGGTCAGACTGAACAGAGACGCTTTTATGAGCAGAAACAGAGGAGGAGAGCAGAGAAAACAGCAGATGAGAGGAAGAAAACGGCTAAATCTGTAGAGACGAGTGATTATTGTATTATCTGAAGAGCTCAATAAAGGATAGATGGATGTCAAAGGAGATGATTACAATTACAAGATTACAAGGAGTACAATTACCAGTGAATGTGCCATTAGCTCTATTAGATCTTCTGTTATGAATACATTCTCATAATTCCTCAGAATAATAATTACTGAATCTTGTACGCACATCATCATCAAAACAGACTGTTATTATTAATATTATTAAGATGTATACTGGTCCACATGAAAGATAATAAAGTCATGTATGGTAAATATTAAAGTGTTTTAAACCATACTATAGTAAAGTGTATTATACAGATTTATTACAGTAGTTGTTGTGTTACCATAGCAACTGTAGAATCACTGCAGCAGATTAATTACTACAGTTGTTGTGTTACCATAGCAACTGTAGAATCACCACAACAGATCAATTGTTACCATAGCGTTTGTATAATCACCACAACAGATTAATTCAATTACTTCACTAAAGTGTATGGTTCAAAAACGCTACAGTATTTTCTATACACTATTTCAAATATAACATTCGGGGAGGCGATGCAGGACCATAACACAGACAGACTAAAAATAGTACATATCCCGGGGCTGTTGCAATAATGAACAGACATTAAATTGTGTGTTTCTGGCTTTAACTAATCTGTTTTGGCGATTCTACGGTTGCTATGGCAACACAACAACTATAGTAATTGTTCTATTGTGGTGATTCTACAGTTGCCATGCTAACAAAACAAATACAGAAATTAATCTGTTGTGGTGATTCTATAGTCATTTAAGGCAACACAACCACTTTAGTTGTTAATGGGTTGTGGTGATTCTACGGTTGCTATGGCAGCACAACAGTTATAACTATATATTAATATAAAACGAACCAATACTGTGGCTTCAACTATAGGCGATATCATACAACACAACACCATTTACTAAAGCTGAAACTAAAGTATACTACAGTATTATTATAGTTTACCAGTTCACTATACTACAGTAAGTGTCACAAGTACTTCAATATATCAAATAGACAATTTTGACAAACAATTTGTTTTGATTGTTTGTTTGGATCTTATATTTACAGATTTTCACCAGAGAATTTTTATAGTCTTACAGAAAAAAAAAATTGTAGGAATATACAGTTAAAGTCAGAATTATTCGCCCCCCTTTGATTTTTTTTACCCCTTTTTTTTTAAATATTTCCCAGATGATGTTTAACAGAGCAAGGAAATTTTCACAGTATGTTTGATAATATTTTTTTCTTCTGGTTTTTAATTTTTTATAAACTATTTTAAGGTTAAAATAATTATTCCTGTTAAGCTTTATATTTTCGATAGTCTACAGAACAAACATCATTATACAATGACTTGCCTAATTACCCTAACCTGTTCAGTTAACCTAATTACCCTAGTGAAACCTTTAAATGTCACTGTAAGCTGAACACTAGTGTCTTGAAGAATATTTAGTCTAATATTATGTGCTGTCATCATGACAAAGAGAAAATAAATCAGTTATTAGAGATGAGTTATTAACACTATTATGATTAGTAATGTGTTGAAGAAATCTGCTCTCTGTTAAACAGAAATTGGGGGAAAAAATAAACAGTGGATTAATAATTGAGGAAGGGTTGATAATTCTGACTTCAACTGTATCTCTGCACTGGGCTTCTATTATAATCCTGTATTTCTGTTTTTATATTTTACTGTTTGTCATGTTGACACTGTTTCTCCCTGTTTCACTCTAACAGTCTGGAATTCATATATATGCTGGCATGAAATATTCCTTTCATTAAGCAAAGAATGATTTCACTGCAGCTCAGATCTGTTGTCTGCCTGACAAAATAACAAGGCCAGCGCTGTTTAATCTGCACAGACTGAAGATCTGCCAAACACAGAGACAGAACAGGCATGCAGCAGACACACATGCACATGAAAACCCAAGCATCTCTCATCAGCTGTAAACACAGTGTGGAGAAGCATCCAGGGATGAGTGAAGGACCGCTGTTTACACTTCAAATCAAGTGTTTTAGATGCTAGAATCAGTCTTTTTAAGCATCTCTATAATCTAGTGTCTTCAAAACAGTGACTAAATTCACATTTAGGGGATATAAACCTGATATTAACATTTAATGTTTGGAGTTTGTCGCATAAATGGATCCATATTTGTTTTTGAAGAATAGATAAAACATGTTCAAGATGTTTATAACCCATGCCCGTAGCCAGGGGGCGTTCAGGTGGTCACCGACAAAGGTCCAGAATAAGTCCCGTTTATGAGCTTATTTGTCCTATTTTGACTGCTGTGCCATCGCAATAAGTGAAAGTATATTTATATTTAAAATATAAAATATTTAAAAAATATTTCTAAATCTTTCTAGATGACCTTTTTCATGAAACAAAAAAATGATCAATAAAAGGTGTGAAGTACCAAAAGCGGATCATATTAAAATGAATTTGAATACTATTGGCAATTGATGTTTTCCATGTAATTAATTAATTAATTAATTTAAAATGGCGAAATTCTGACTGAATAAAGTTTAATGTGCTGGCCAGTTTGTTATTTATAATGTGACTATTAATTGACAATGTGCTTGTTTTTAATTTAAAATGGGTACATTTTTAAATGATAAATGATGTAAAAAAATATATATAATAAATATTTTATTATTATTAATCTAGGAAATTTTTTTGGTACATCAAAAAGTGTGGTTATGATGACTATCCGACATGACAATCCAGATAAAAATAGAGCTGAAAATCTATTTAAATATTTTAATTAAATATAAAGTGAAGTGTGTAACTCTAAAAAGGTCCATATTTGGAGGAAAAACAACCACTCCTTTGACCAGGCGGGCTACAGGCCTGTGACCATATGTTTACTAGTTACTAACAACTAATTAACAAGTAACTAATAACCATTTTTAATAAATGTCTGATGGTAAATCACTAAACGTTTACTATTGTAGGTCTGTTAGGATTACCTAAATGATTTACATTTGCTAAATGCCAGAATAATGAGAGTATTTTTGATTGATTTCTAGACAGTCAAGAGTTTACACACATGTCCTTGGTTTTTTTAGCTTTGCTTTAAAACTGTGTAACTTTGGTCAAATGTTTTGGGTCTCCTTCCACAAGCTTCTCACAAAAGTTTGAAGGAGTTTTGGCCCAGAGTCAGATTTGTCTTGCTCGCACAAGCTTTTTCAACTCTGCCCACAAACTTTCTATAGGATTGAGTTCAGGGCTTTGTGATGGCCACTCCGAAACATTCACTCTGTTGTCCTTAAAGCACATTTGAACTCATTTGGCAGTGTGCTTAGGGTCATAGGGGGTTTTCCAGAGGCAGAATAATCTTATTGTGTGTAAAATTAACTTTCAAGAAGAGTTATAACAATTTCTCAAACAATCTCTCTCTCATTATTCTGCTATTAAGCAGAACAGAAACACATCTGATCATCCTAACTTACTTAAAAGAGAAAGGTTTAGTCACATTGACATCTGACTTTATTTTAAATGCTTATGTGCCTTTTTTATTCAGTGTATGTACACTTCTGCTTTCAGCTGTATGTGTGTAGATGTTTAATGAAGTGTATTTGTGTATTAAGTGTGTGTGTGTGTTGTCCTGGAAGTCCTTTGATGTAAGTACCTAGTAGTTAAGGGCACTTAATATAAAGTGGCACCAACATCTTCCTATATAGAGTGTTTTTGCAGCACTGACCGATGTGTGTGTGTGCCATCAGGTCTGCCAGGACGGTGGCGGCTGAAGCGGAGCTGGTGTTGGTGCAGTGCTGCGCTCGTCCTCCAGGGTGTGAGGAGGTGGAGGAGGCAGAGGAGGACGTGGAGGAGCCCTGGATCACCCTGTTAAACCAGTGCTCCACGCTGGCCTGAGCAGCATACGGGGATGAGGAGGCGAAGCGGCCTGTCCGGCGCAGAGAGCCCTCATCCTCTGAAGCTGATGACGTGTCTGGCAGGAAAACAACAGCAGCAGGTCAGCACCAAACACACTCTACACTTGCAGGACCTTCCTTTTGTGGATGATATAACTGTTTCAAGAGACACTCTAACTTTATTCATTCATTTTCCTTCAGCTTAGTCACCTATTCATCAGGGGTCACTACAGTGGAATGAACCGCCAACTATTCCAGCATATGTTTTGCACAGCAGATGCCCTACCAGCTGCAACCCAGTACTAGGAAACACCCATACACACTCATCCTCACACACACTCGTACACTACGGCCAATTCAGTTAATCAATTCCCCTATAGCGCATGTGTTTGGACTGTGGGGGAAACCGGAGGAAACCCATGCCAACACTGGGAGAACATGCAAACTCTACACAGAAACACCAACTGACTCAGCCGGAACTTGAACCACTAACCACTCAAACTGCTGACCACTGAGCCACCCTCAAAATCAAGTTATTTAGCTTTTTAAAATAGTTCCCGTGGTGGTTTTGTCCAGAGTATCATATAAGATGTTTGATGTATCTTCCTGTGCTGATCATTTGCTATTAATAACAATCCGTTATTTTTGATAAGACATCATGTTTGTAACATCGCCTCACCTCCACTTTGCTCTATGCTGCACATTTTTAACCTCTTGAGATTACTTTTACTTTACAATTACTATGAAAAAATTACTCCATAGGAAAAAACTCACTAAAGACATTTACTGCCTATTGTAAGTACATCGTGTGTAATTGCTAAATTGGAGTAAAGACCTGCTAGATTAAGTTCAGTGAACTTGAAAATGTAAGTTAATAAATCCAAAACAATGCAAATTAAACATTTACAGTTGAAGCCAGAATTATTCGCCCTCCCTTTGACTTTTATATATTTTTTAAATATTCCCCAGATGATGTTGAACAGATTGAGGAAATGTTCACAGTGTGTCTGATAATATTTGTTCTTCTGGAGAAAGTCTTAATTGTTTTATTTCGGCTAGAATAAAAGCAGTTTTAAATTTTTTAAAGACTATTTTAAGGTCAATAATATTAGCCCCTTTAAGCTATATTTATTTCGATAGTCTACAGAACAAACCATCATTATACAATGACTTGCCTAATTACCCTAACCTGTTCAGTTAACCTAATTACCCTAGTGAAGCCTTTACATGTCACTGTAAGCTGAACACTAGTGTCTTGAAGAATATCTAGTCTAATATTATGTGCTGTCATCTTGACAAACAGAAAATAAATCAGTTATTAGAGATGAGTTATTAACACTCTTATGATTAGAAATGTGTTGAAGAAATCTGCTCTTCATTAAACAGAAATTGGGGGAAAAATAAACAGTAATAATTCTGACTTTCACTGTATCTAGTTTTTTTTTTTTTTTTTTTTTTTTTGCATTTCCTTATTTTTGTTAGCAAAATTATTATTTTTTTAACTTTTGCTTTGTGATTTTTGGAGATTTGCAATTATTCATTTCTTTTTTTTTTGCTCAATACTTTATTTTTTGTTTGTAAAACTTCCTTTTATTTTGCAAGTATATATGACCTTAGATTAACTCCATACCAGAGCAGCCAAAGGAAACCCACAGATCGATGTTAATGCTGTTGTCTGCATTATATTGTTTTTATATCAGCACATCTCAATATTAAAGTCGATTATTAAATGTAATATAAAGCCCTTCAATTGTAAGAGTGACTTTATTGTTCCATATGCAGTAGTTTCTGTGAGCCAAATCCTCCATTAAAACAGCAGGAGAGCTGATTCATGATCATAATGGAGGAATAATTAAAGGTGTTTGTTCTTGATTCAGTGTGCCTGTGCTGAGATCATCTGGAAAACACATATGAAGTCATGCTCATGTGGTCAGACGGAAAGCCCACACCGCTGCATCACGTTCCCCATTATAAATACATTATCAATGACACAGACGGACAAATAGCAGACGTCCAGCTAATAATGAATGAAAGATGTCATATCGCTAAACCATCTGCACCATTTCATCACGCGTAAGGCATCTACAGACCGAGTGAACTGAGTATAACGAGAGAAAAACACTTCTAAATCAAACTCCAGTGCACTGATGATTAGCCGACTAATTCTATTATAATTATCATCAGCAGTAACGAGCTGCTGTTTGTTTCTCCCAGCAAGCAAACAACATTCTTCTAACTCTCCCAGTTTCATTAAGCTTAGTTTATATAAATAAAAACAATAGATTTTTTTCTGAAGTAACATAACATAAGGTGGCACGGTGGCTCAGTGGTTAGCACTGCAGCCTCACAGCAAGAAGGTCTCTGGTTCGAGTCCCAGCTGGGTCAGTTTACCTCAGTGCATCTCTACTGTATATGACAGGGTTCCCACTTTAAGCCAAATTCTCTGATGTTCACTGACTAAAAAGCTGAATTTCCATTCATATCACCTTTATTGGCATGACTAGCACGGTACTGCCCAAGCAATTATACACAACATAAACAATAAAGAGTAGTTTAGGCCACCTAATATAAGATGAAACCAATAAAACAACCCTAAATGGCTGTAAAAACAACACAAAAACTGGACGTAAAAACCCTGAATATTCTTCACAATGTCTGATGACAGGTCTATGAGGGATAAACTGTCTTTAAAACAGTTCTCAAAATCAGCAGGAGTGTAAATAATGAAGTGTTTCTGACAGCCAGATGGGCTATCAGATCAATCAGAGCGCTGTAATGTGTGTTTTAGTTTGTGCTCAGAACATAAAGGAGTCATCGAACCATGAGCCGACACTGAACGGGCCCGATCTGCTGATCTGACCCCAAACACTCAATCCTGCTGACCTTTCACTCACTAACTGCATCATTACTGAGTGCATCAGCTCACCACACACACACATACACAAGTACGCACACACACAAGCACGCACACACACATACATACATACATTTGCACATACACATACATGTGCGTACAGTATGTACCTGGAGGAGTGCATGCTTCGACTGAAGACTGCACCAGCACAGAGCGTCTCTTTGAGGGCATCGGCATCTTTCTCTCTTTATATTTGGCCAAAGCTGCTTGAACTGCTTCTGTATGAAGATCTGCAAGACACGCAACACACACACAACACTGTCACAAACACAGCGCAAAATATAGCAGGAAACACATTTGACCGTGACGCCCCATATTATATTATATTATATTATATTATATTATATTATATTATATTATATTATATTATATTATATTATATTATATTATATTATATTATATTATTTTATTTTATATTATAGTATTTTATCTTATTTAATAATTATATTATTTTATATTATATTATTTTATGTTATTTATTAATTATATTATATTATATTATATTATATTATTTTATATTATTTATTAATTATATTATTTTATATTATATTATATTATATTATATTATATTATATTATATTATATTATATTATTTTATATTATATTATATTATATTATTTATTAATTATATTATATTATCTTACATTATTTTATATTATATTATTTTATATTATCTTACATTATTTTATATTATTTATTAATTATATTATATTATATTATATTATATTATATTATATTATATTATATTATATTATATTATGTTATATTATATTATATTATATTATATTATATATTAATTATATTGTATTATATTTTGTATTAATTATATTATATTATATTATTTTATATTATCTTACATTATTTTATATTATTTATTAATTATATTATATTATATTATTTTATATTATCTTACATTATTTTATATTATTTTATATTATATTATATTATATTATTTATTAATTATATTATACTATGTGATATTATATTATATTATATTATTTTATATTGTATTATATTATATTTTATTATATTATAATATTTTATATTATATTATATTATATTATATTATATTGTATTTTATTATATTATTTTATTTTATATTATATTAAAGTATTTTATCTTATTTATTAATTATACTATTTTATATTATATTATTTAATGTTATTTATTAATTATATTATATTATATTATTTTATATTATTTATTAATTAAATTATATTATATTATTTTATATTATCTTACATTATTTTATATTATATTATATTATATTATATTATATTATATTATATTATATTATATTATATTATATTATATTATTTATTAATTATATTATATTATGTGATATTATATTATATTGTATTATATTATATAATATTATATTATTTTATATTATATTATATTATTTTATATTATTTATTAATTAAATTATATTATATTATATTATATTGTGTTATATTATATTATATTGAATACTTTTATAGAATCCTGCTAATATGTATTGTACTCAGTGGAATTTTTGTGCAATATTCCGAAATGTCCATGAAAGCAGGAATGTAGAAGCACCTGATCTGAAGCGCTCATCCCTGGAGTTGGCCAGCCGAGGTTTGTTGTGTTTGGAGGCCGGATGAGCCGCCGGTGCTGAAGACTGAATCCTGTGATCGATCTGAAGAGACGGATCTACACCTGCACACACACACACACAGCATGATCACTCACATACAACAACACATTACTTACAGCTCCATGCTTCACATTTGAAGCTCCGACTCACTGGAAATACGTGCCTCAGTCAAATTTTTGGAAAACATTTCTCCTGGTACATTTCGTTGTACATTTCAGATGGCAAATCCACTAGAGGACGCTGTCTAGATTTTTGCTAATCTGAAATACGTTATTTAGGGTGTGTTTTGCTTCGTATAGGAAGGCAAATCCACTAGAGGGTGCTGTCTACATTTTTTAAATCTAAAATATATTACTTAGGGTATATTTTGTTGTAAAATTCAGATGGCAAATCCACTAGAGGGTGCCCTGTACATTTTTTGAGAATCCAAAATATTTTATTTAGGGTATGCTTCATTGCACGTTACAGATGACGAATCCACAAGAGGGCACTGTCTACATTTTAATGAATCAAAAATACGTTATTTAGAGTATGTTCCGTTTTGATTCAGATAGCAAATCCACTAGAGGGCACTGTCTACATTTTTGCAAAACTTAAAATACATTGTTCAAGGTAAGTTTCAATATGCATTTTAGACAACAGATCCACTAGAGGGCGCTGTCTACATTTTTGCCAATCTGAGATACCTTATTTAGGGTATGTTTTGTTGTACGTTTCAGATGACAAATCCATTAGAGGACGCTGTGTACATTTTTGTAAATCTGAAATACCTTCTTTAGGGTGTGTTTTGTTTCGTTTTAGATGGCAAATCCACTAGAGGGCGCTGTCTACACTTTTGCCAATCTAAAATATGTTATTTAGGGTACATTTTGTTGAACGTTTCAGAGGGCAAATCCACTAGAGGGCGTTGTATACATTTTTGAGAATCCAAAATACGTTTTTTAGGGTATGTTTTGTTTTGATTCAGATAGCAAATCCACTAGAGGGCACTGTCTACATTTTAGCAAAACTTAAAATACATTGTTCAAGATAAGTTTCAATACACATTTTAGACAACAGATCCACTAGAGGGCACTGTCTACATTTTTGCCAATCTGAGATACGTTATTTAGTGTATGTTTTGTTGTACGTTTCAGATGATAAATCCACCGGAGGGCATTGTGTACACTTTTGACAATCTGAAATGCGTTACCTCGAGCAGTGTCTCCCAACCCTGTTCCCGGAGGCACACCAACACTTCATATTTTGGATGTCTCCCTTCTCTGACCCATTCATTTCAGGTTAGGAGTCTCTCTAATATTCTGATGAGTTGATTCAGGTGTGTTTGAATAGGTAAAGGTTAAAATTTTACTATTGGTTTGCCTTCAGGAACAGGTTTGGGAAATACTGACTGTTTTGTTGCACATTTCAGAGGATAAACCACTAGAGGGCGCTGTCTACATTTTTGCAAATCTAAAATGCATAACTTAGGGTGTGTTTTGTCGTATGTTTTAGATGACAAATCCACTAGAGGGCGCTGTCTACATTTTTTACCAATCTGAAATATGATTTAGGGTGTGTTTTGTCGTATGTTTTAGATGACACATCCACTAGAGGGCGCTGTCTACAAAGCATATCCTAAAAACAAATTTCAAATTCACAAAAATGCCCTCTAGTAGATTTATCATCTGAAGCGTACAACAAAACACATCCTAGGTGACATATTTTAGATTCAATCACAACACCCGACCATGCAAACCGACCATGAGAGAAAACATAACCGTATGTCAGTAGGCGACACATAGACATCAGTTGGTTTGTGGTGTTTATTTTTATTTTTTGCAAAGAGATGCATGAAAATAATCATATATTGATCAATAATATGTGCCTGTAAATATCATTATTGTGAAAAGGAACAAACGTTGTTGTCGTCATACTGCCCCCTGGTGTTCAGTTCACCTAAAAACTGGATTCACTATGTTGAAGTATGTTTTAGAGGTGGCACAAAAATCTAGGCTGAAGCACGTATTAACAATAGGCCAGAGCGGCATCACTGGATTAAGGGCACTAAACTGTAAAAACTCTAGTGCCAAAGAAATACACATAAGTGAACAATCTCAGGGTGAGAAGCTGACTTTAATGAAGCGGTGAGGAGACACTCTTCAGTTTCAACACTATCACTGCAGTCACACATTAATCTTCTCTGCACTTCAGACTGCTCTTGATCTGGGTAACAAAATACCTGGAGAACATCTGAGACTGTCTCACACTCTCTCACACACACACACACACACACACAATTCACATCTGCTCAGTGCATTCACTAAACTAGAGTTTCACACATGCAGAAACTTTAAGAGCTTTGAACAGATTTGGGAAAGTGATTTCTTCCCTCTTTGGGATGGAACCACGAGGCGACGTTCATTCACAGACCACAAGTTTCTGGAGGGCACATACATCTGCAGAAGTGAGAGCAGATAAGAAGGAGCAAAGCCAGAAGTCGCTTTGTAAGCAAACATCAGAGTTTTGAATTTGATGCGAGCAGCAACTGGCAGCCAGTGCAAACGGATGAGCAGCGGAGTGACATGTGCTCTTTTAGCTTCATTAAAGACCACTCGTGCTGCTGCGTTCTGAAGCAGCTGAAGAGGTTTGACAGAGTTAGCTGGAAGCCCGGCTAGTAGAGAGTTGCAATAGTCCAGTCTGGAGAGAACAAGAGCTTGAACAAGGAGCTGAGCTGCATGTTCAGATATAATGTGATATTGGTGACACTTTAGTTTAAGTATCAATTCTCACTATGATCTAGTGTCTTATTACCTTAATAACTATTAATAAGCAGCAAACTATGAGTTTAATTAGCTAAAAGTCCAGGTTAATGGTTTAATAATAGCCAGAATTGAACTAAATATTAAACAATAATAAAGTGTGACCAAATATTAATGTTCTTCAAATGTGTGCTTCTTTCTCACATCTAGAAGGAAATAAAAACAAAACAAAAAATCACAGATGTACACGAATAATCATATCATAATAGATGCAAACTGTGAATATGATGATACATGATCTGACACTATTTATTTAAAGCACTTTTATTATTAACAAAAAATTGTGATTACTCTTTATTTTCAGACAGCAGCAGCTCAGTGTCCACATCTATACAGTGCAGGGTTGCCAGGGTTGCAGCTTTCCTACACAATTGAAATATTTACGTGTTTTAAATATGAAGTTGTGGGACGTGTATAGTATTTTACTTTTTTTTTTCTCAGCAGCAGCCCAAAGAATGTTTTAATAAATGTATTAGGCTGCATGGTGGCTCAATGGTTAGCACTGTGGCCTCACAGCAAGAAGGTCTCTGGTTCGAGTCCCGGGTGGGTCAGTTGGGGAGCTAATAACATTGATCTTAAAATGGCTTTAAAACTATTAAAAACTGCTGTTATTCTAGCCGAAATAAAACAAATAAGACTTTCTACCAGAGAAACAAATATTTGTTCTCCTTTTAGGCAGGTTTTGTTTTGTCATCATCAGGTTTTCATGGACCTGGCAACCCAGTTTGAGTGTATCTGCAGAAATCTGCATCTTTCTGAAGTTGAGGCTGATGATGAACTGCAGTATTGGAGTTATGTAAGATCCATGCGGCAGCAGAAAGGAGAAACTGAAGAGCTTTCGTGACCTCTGTGCTTTTCACCATCTATCAGCACATGCTCGAACACCGCTGGACTGGATTTGACTAAAGATTGTGGACACTGAGGATGAAAACAGTCCTGCTTTTGCCATGACATCTACGCTTCGCCATGTTTTCAGCCATGCTGAATGTAAACCAATGCAAATCACCACTGAAAATGTGAAGCGTTTTATAGTACTTACTGAAAACATTGTACACTCAGAACAACAGGGACTAATGTGTGTGTGTGTGTGTGTGTGTGTCATATATATATATGAGCAATATCACACGAGTAGCAGTGTGATATGGCTGTATATCAGCACTGGTGGGAGGCGTGCATTGCTTAGTGCCTATAGCTAGTGTAATAGCTTAGTGCCCCCACCAGTGCCGATATACAGCCATATCGCATAGCTACTCGTGTGATATTGCGTTTATACAACAGATTGACGGCATAATTGTGTACATAAAAACAAAATCAAACATGTAGAGGCTCTAAAACCCTTTTGTATGAGGAACTACTTTCTTCCGCGTTGGATTCAAATCATACACTGACAGTTAAACAGCTGAGTGTGCATCTTTTACACTGTAGATCTGTAGTGTCTGCTTTCTGCTGGCTGCATGTGGGTGGAGTAATACACAAAGGGTAAAGAGGCTGTACGGGTGCTGATATTACTTAAATATATCACAGCTATCAGCCAATCAGATTCAAGAACCAAACAGAACTGTTGTATAAATATATATATATATATATAATAGAGGTGCTCCGGTTTCCCCCACAGTCCAATCAAATTTGCTATAGAGGAAAAGATGAACTAAATTGGCCGTAGTGTGCGTGTGAATGAGTGTGTATGGGTGTTTCCCAGTGATGAGTTAGAGCTGGAAGGGCATCCGCTGTGAAAAACATATGCTGAAATAGTTAGCGGTTCATTCCACAGTGGCAACCCCTGATGAATAAAGGGACTAAGCTGAAAACAGAATGAATGAATGATATTTGGTATCATTTTTGATGTACTCTACATTCGCTTCTGAAAGTTGGAACACAATCCAGATCTGAAATCAGAATAATTCCTGAAGGATCACGTCAGAAGACTGCAGTGATGATGCTGAACAGTCACAGGAATAACTTGCATGTTAAAATATGTTCAAAAACTGTTATCATGACACTTTTAATGTGTTTCTGATCTCAGTGAGCAGAGGAGATCTTTTAAAAACACTGACCTGTGCGTGCGTATGTGTGTTCAGCTTCACAAAAGCTCAACTATGTGCAAACATAACAAAGCCATGAACGCTACAAGTATCTCCGTCCAGTTGCTAAGCAAAACAAATGTCGTTCCACCATTGGCTGACAACCGGCCAATCACATTCCTGTTTCCAATGTTACTAGCCAGATCTGGACCCAAATATTAAAGACGCAACAATGTAAAGATGGGAATACTGACAGAGTCGGTTATAACTATATAAGATTGTATAAATGTAGCTACACCTTAATATTGATGATTAATTGTCTCTTTTTTTTATTAGAGCACAATAAAAAGTAACAAATGAACATGTATTCGCATAAAAAAGTAAAGTATTTTAACATCTATCCTTCTATCAGTTTAACAAACACACATTACAGGAGCTGCTGCCACTAACGATTATTTTGATAACCGATTAGTTATGTGATTATTCTGATGATTAATCAAATAAAACTAAATACATTTTAAACGGTAAAGTAACAAATAAACACGTGTATTTGCATAATAGATGTTAATTCTCTGGGTTATTTTAACTTTTATCCTTTTATCAGTTTAAGAAACGCACATTTGCTAGGGTTGTGACCAATGATTATTTCGTTAATCGATTAGTTGTGCAATTATTTTGATGATTAATCGGATAAAAACAAAATACTTTTATAACGTTAATCCTCCTCTGTTCTCACGCTTGTATGCATTTCATTCGCAAAAATGCTTAATTCTGTGTTTGGTTTGAATCCAGCAAAAATGTCATCATTACCCCCTGTTGGTTCGGAGTATTCTTAACATGCATTTTAATGTGGACAGATTATTTTAAAAATGAAAGCGTGGAAAATACCCATGTACATGTGAACATTAGGAGTGTAATTTTTTGATATGTTTAGGGTTCCGTAGGCTTTACTTGTGCAGTTGTCTGTAAACCAGCTCAAAAAAAGACAAAGATAAATCCTGCAGCATCTCTGCTGAAATGCTCATTCAGAATCAAGAGCTAATTTCTGTTTCAGAGCCAGACCCATAACACAGAGTTAGAGCAGACAGACGCTCACTTTTCCACCGCAAGCATTATAAAGCTTTCATGCAGGACGATCTAAAATTAAACACACACCAGGAATATAGATTTAGCCAACAGTGAGTCACATCACACATGAACAACATCCACAGACTGACCGCTCATGATGAGGGAAACATGATGATAGAACAATTATGATTTGAGTCTGAGGCCTATGATTTAAAAAAATGAAATAAAATTACTGAATAATTAAAAATAAACAAAACAACAAAATAAAGTAAAATTAAAGTAAAAAAATACAAAAATTTGAAACACTAATAAAATAAAACAAAATAAAAATAAATTATATAAAAATAAATTAAATAAAGAATAAAAAATTAATAAAAATATAAAATTAAATGAAAAACATTATATTATTGGGTAAAAAAAAAATGTAAAATAAATGAAATAAAATAAGTAAAATTTAATTTAATTTAAATTATTATTTATTTAATTCTTTTAAAACAAACCAACAAGTTAAATCATATTTAAAATAATAAAATTAAATAAAATTAAATAAATGAAAATAAAATAAAACAATCAAACAAATAAATAAAATAAAATAAAGTAAAGTAAAATTCAATTCAATTAAAAATAACAAAAGTTTAAAACATAAATAAAATACAACATAAAAATGAAATTTTTTATAAATTAAATATTAAATTTGATTTAATTAAAAAAATTATACAATAAAAATTAAATAAACAAATAAAAGAAAAGAAAAGAAGCTAAAATAATAAATTAATTAATACATTATTTATTTATTTAATCAAAATAATAATAATAATTAAATTAAGTTGAATACGAAACTATAAAACAACATAAAAAATCAGATAAAATAAAATTAGCTTCTGCCTGGCACAATAAGCAGTTGAAAACGGATGGATGGCAACACAAACTGAATTATTAATACTAACAATGCCATGCAAATATAAGCAACATGCATATTTTCATCAATCAAAAAAGATGAGCATTTATAAATAACAGTCAGTTCTGCATGTGAAATATGTGGATATATGAGCAGTGGCTAGACAGCGAGCGCAAACAGCAGACACACACACACACACACACACACACACACACACACAGTTTGCGGTAGTCTGAACCTGCACTTAGCTTGTAGTTTTACAGTCTGGATAAGTCATGTTCACCACAGACACACACACACTCACACACAAGCACACACACACACACACTCACACTGTTTCCATTAGCTGACGGTCTTCTTGACACAAGCCAAACTGTGCACAGTTCTCAGATCAGTGCCAGCGCAGGCAAACTGCAGTTTATAACCCTGTGTGCTGAAATCAATGTGTGTGTCTGTGTGTCGGTGTGTGTGTGTGTGTGTGTGTGTGTGTGTGTGTGTGTGTGTGTGTGTGTGTGTGTGTGCTTCAGTGCTTTACCTTGTATCTGGGGAATGTAGGGCGCCAGTAATTTCCCTCTTTTCTTCTCATAGCCTTTCTGCGTGATGTCACCTATAAAGAGAGAGAGAGAGAGAGAATTAAAAATGATTATCAATTAATTCCATAATTATGCAGCCGATACCCCATTACAGAGAGAGTTATACAGAAAACACCAAATCTCCCTCAACAGCTGAAAATAAAGCTCTTCAGCAACACCAAACACTGAGAAAGTTGAAATCAACAACACTTTGAGAAGACGACTGATATGAATTGCAGAATTTGGCTGACTCCACGACACAAAACAAAGGATGACACTACTTCCGCTCACAGCTCCTGCTATTCACACTGGCTGAGTACCTGCCTGTTATTAAGACATGACCTGTTCAGTCTGCATCCCTAATCTAACCCAACACCTAAACCCGACTTCTACCTCACTTCCTATTAATAAACAGCTAGTGGTGTTAGTTAATGGTTTGTTAACACTGTGAATTGTGACTTACACTAAAGTGTTACCAATAACTGAGACGTAACCCTCATGTAAAGCTTACATTAATATCTGAAACTGCAGAAGAACTCCTCATCGAAAACTCTACACAAACAACAGCTCCAACCTGAAACTCTCTATAAAGCAGGACATACTGAGAGACTGAGAGAAAGACAAAGAGATTGTGATGAATCATGTGTTCTGCATCACAGCGTCAGCCTGGCACAGCAGAGCACAGACACACACACACACACACACACACACACACACACACGGTGCTGTAATGATGCTTCTACTGTACAGACTGTATAATCTCTCCAATCTAAACTCAACCCTCACAGCAAGCAATCCACACCTTCAAAATGCTGCATTCAGCAGTAAAAACTACACATCTACCTCTTAATCCCAACAGGGAAAACCAGCAACATTCAAGAATGCATGATTATGATGGTACGGCTTTGCAGTCAATGAATGGTTATATTGGAAGTCAATGGGGCAAAAACAGGCTCCAACATCACCAAAGGGGAGTCAATCTGAACAGAGAGTATTGTTGAGTTTTTCAAAAATTTCAAAAAGTCTTTTCCCAAATATGTGTCTATGCTTTTGGAAAATAAAAAAAAACAATTAATTAAAAAAAATAATGATAATAAGAACATTACAATAAAATAATTAATAAAAAGAAATAAAAATAAAAACATTAAATTCAATCAAAATAAAAAGATAATTACATTAAATTAAATAAGTTAAATAATAAATACATACATCAATTTATTATTTAATTAATTAAAAATAAACAAACCAGTAAATTAAATGAAAGTAGGTTAAACAAATAAAATACAAAAAATAAAATACAAAAAATAAAATAAAATAAAATTCTAAAATATGTGCCTATGTTTTTGAAAAATAAAATAATTAATTAAAAAACAAAACAAAATATATATTCAAGCTAAATTAAATTTAATTAAAATTACAAAAATGCGAAACAATTATGAAACATAAAATGAATAAAATACAGATATTAAATTGAATCAAAATAAAAATATAATTACATTAATTAAAATATAATTAGTAAATAATAAAAAAATAAAAAAATAAATTAATTATTTAAAAATAAACAAACCACTAAATCAAATAAAATTAAATAAACAAAACAAACATTTTTTTTATAAAATAAAACAAAATAAATTTAAATAAAATAAATAAAATAAAATAAAATAAAATAAAATAAAAATAAAATAAAATAAAATAAAATGCTAAAATCTCCTAAAATATGTGTTTATGCTTTTGGAAAATAAAATAAAATAATTAAATAAAAAAATTACAAAATATAATTAAGTAAAATTAAATTAAATTAAAATTACAAAAATGTAAAACATTAATACAATTTAAAAAAACGTAAATTAAAAATAAAAACAATTTAATAAAATCAAAATTAAATTAAATAAGTAAAATAATACCTTTATTAATAACTTAATTATTTAATTATTTAAAAATAAACAAACCACTTAATAAAATAAAACTAAATACAAAAAATAAATTAAAATAAAATAAAATAAAATAAAATAAAATCCCCAAATTTCAAAAATCATTCAGCAAAAATCATCTCATTTGTTCAAACACAAAGAAAGATGAGGCCAAATTAAGACTCAAAATCAACCCAGAGTGGATGAAAACGACCCAACAGCACACAATAAATAAGTGTTCTGTCACACTCCAACACAACTAAACTCTCAACATGCCACATTTTAGTACATATTTCATATTTTTTCACACAAGAAAGCTTACGTATGAGAACATCTCACAGCAACACACACGATGCTGCATTTTACATGCTATCATATACATTTGAGCTACTAATTTCTGAACCATCATTGTGAGTTATTTTGTTAGATGACCTGCAGATTTGGCTTCTGTTCTGACTAATCTAATGTATAAGCACAAATATAATATTGTAGAGCTTCCTATTAAACATATGAATGTAAATGAGAGATTTGTGGGGGGTGAACTCATATATGCAGAGCTCTGGAAATTATATTAAAACAAACATATATTTTGAAGGCAATTAACGGTGATAAATCTCCGGCCAGCACTAATAAAAAATACATCTTAAATTCTTAAACATGATGGATTCAGTCTGACAGTCTCTTACAGGAAACAATTGTAGATTATAGTTAATGCTTTAAACAGCGCAGTGCTTTAATGCGGTGTGAAGAAGAGGAGATGAGAGACACATCGCACACTGTTTCTCACCACCATCCCCCCTCACACACACACACACACACACACACACACACACACACACACACACACACACACACACACACACACACACACACACACACACACACACACACACACACACACACAGGATCCAGTGTCCACAGTCACGGTTTAAATCAGAAACTCCTCAGATTGTCAGAAACAGGAGGATCAGCGTGACCAGATCAACACAAAAGACCAGAGCAGAAACCTTCAGTGATTAGCAGACAGTAATCACACACACACACACACACACACACACACACTATTTCCATCCACCCATTTCATGTATATTTTGGAATATTGCGTAGGGTTGAGGAGGTAATCTTCATCTCTGATCTGACATCAGGGTTGCCAGGGTGGTGGGTTTCCCACACAATTGGGCTCTTCTGAAAATCCATTTTACATGAAAAGCTCTAAAGTGTCAGGATGTGTTTAATTGATAATGTGCGTAAAGTTTCTGTCTTGAAACTGAATCATTTCTGAATGCGCATTGATAATGGAATGCATACCTGGCAACCCAAAGACTGCAGCAAAGTGAACGAGTATCAAAGCATCTGACACATCACATATTAAATGCGCCACACACACACACGCACGCACGCACGCACGCACGCACGCACGCACGCACGCACGCACGCACGCACGCACGCACACACACACACACACACACACACACACACACACACACACATCAGAGGAAGAAGTGTTTAGTTTAACACTTATACTGTATCTACAATTACAGAACTATCAGAGTAGATCTGCTAAACACCTGTGATGTTCTTTCTGTGTTAATCACTGCCTTATACAGGTAAAGGAGGAGGAGTAGGGGTGATGGGGGGATTCTTCAGGATGAAGATGGCTTAGGTAAGATACTCTGCTTGTTAGTTAGGAATCGTGTGATTGGTGAATCATGCGTTCGCTAATGCAGGACCAGCTGTGATCAAGCATAATCACGTGCTCCTCTTGAAATTAGTTGATAAATAAGCTCCTCAAGGAAAGAGATCAGGCTATTTTCATTCACTTCAGTCAGGTTTAAAAGTCTCTGTGAGATTAAATGAAGGTTTTTTAGATTTTAGTGTGTTCTTTTTAATGATATCTATAATCTAGAGTGCTGTAAAACAGTGACAAAACTCACATGAGGAAGATATAAACTAGGGTTGGGCTGATGGACGATGCCATCGCTCATCGCCGATAGACAACACGATGCTGAGCCTGCATCGCCGATCCTCCGCCCCGCCTCCGTCGCAAATCCGCTGGTCGAAAAACACACACTCAGGCCCCGTTTACACTAATATGTCTTAGTAAATGATCCACATCCACACCGTTTTACCTAGCATTTCTGAACAGCCCTCCGTCTGCTGAAACTGCCAACCCAAGCTCATTCTGCAAACGTAGTCCCGTGGACGTTTCTGGAGACAGCGGAATACGTCCCGGGAGGTACGTACGGCTGCATTTATTTTTTTTAAGCGAACACTGCGGGGCGGTGTGACGCTGTTCCCTTTCACGCTTGCCGGCTGACGGATTACCTCCTTGTGGAGGGCTTCCCCACTGCAACCTGTTTGTCCAATCAGCTCATCGTGTACGTCGGCAGGCTCGAGATGCAGAGAGGAGTCGACCACGGCGACCGGTTTCGAGTCCGGGGAAGAGCAGTTCCAGCAATCAGGTAAGACAAAAACAGAATCCCGAAAATTAAGTGAACGAGTTTCATGACAGGGTGAGAACGCGGTGAAATCCGAAAACGCGGTGGAATAAAAAAATCAGCGCTTTTCTTTTTTTGGACGGCTTTTGTAAACTGTTGCTCGGGTTTAGGGAAGTGAGCGGGTGGGCGGGTCGATCGGTAAAATTGGTTGGGTTCAGGGAAGGAGGAGGGTGGGTCAGACGATTGGCCAGTCGTGCAGTCAATCATCCGGTCAGTCGGACAGCGGCCTCTAGTGGGTTCACGCGAGAACAGCGCGGGCGCACTCGCGAGAGGCATCTGAGGTGTGAAAAAGCGCACAACAGCGGCCTCTCGCGGATTCACAAAAACAAAAACTGCAGCCGTACGTACCCGCCGGGATGTATTCCGCGCTCTCCAGAAACGTCCGCGGGACTACGTTTCCACAATGAGCCTGGGTTGGAAAATGCACATCACAACCCCACACACACACACACACACACAAACACACATGCGCTCCTCTGAGCTCCAGAGAGCAGTGCACGTGGGACAGTTCATCAAGGATGTAGCGCTGGATGGCGTCTCACTACAGTTGTCAAACGTGATGTTTAATTAATCTTTATCTAACGACTCTTCGTTCTTTTGAATCTATCAGGTAACGTGTCACAGCAT